CTGTGGCAATTACGTGCGCTGCTAGAAGTAGTTAAAATATCAGGAAGCATGATGAAGACAGTTTGGTTAGAATCGTCGGAAGTAGAGTCTGAACTTGGCTTTCTACTGGTTACGGATTTGTCACTTCTTACAAAGTGAAGAGAGTAGTAAGGCTGGTTCGAGAAGTACAATCTCCGCTGGACAGACAGGGGGTTTTACTAAAGAGGCTCCATCTGGAAATCGAAGCGCTGCGTCACATACTGCTAGAACAGCAGTGAAAAGTAGAATACATACTGAGGGTAAGTAAGGGCATCATTTGTAAAGGAGAACGTCATATGTTTAGTCGTTGAGCAGTGGCCGCACCTATATCACGTGCTAGTATTTGTTTTTTGAGGATTATCACAGTTTAGTAGGCTCGATTGAAGAAGTTTTGTGGATATTTTTGATGCAGTACGAGGAATATAGTTGATTGTTGAGTCGAGAATAGATGAATGCCCGCTTGAAGCTGAGTTCTCTTTTGTCATGCTCTGTAATTTCTGTACTATTTCGATTTGGAATCGATACTTAGGATTTTCTGGAAAGCACATTTCGCTTTCGTTCTAATGATTGTTTCAAAATGAAATGCAGGTTACCATTTTTCGAATAGATTTTGATAGAAAGAAGATAGGGAGCTGTGGTCTTCACCATGCGAAAGAGCGATGTCCGGACTATCGATCGGTATAGAACTTATTAAGACGAAAGATGCTGTTTAAATGGCTTCTTTGGATAGACACTTCTTCCTTCGAATATTTTCATCAATATTCACAGTAGTGCCCAATAAAATTATGTCCAAATGTACCTGAATTCACGTTTTTTTTGCTATAAAATTGGCAGTCGGTTCATTATCTCTCATGCTCTTATTCTAAGTCGATTAAAAAACCAAGTATCAATTTTATAGAAGAAAAAGGGTGGTTAAGCTACGTTTTGACATAAATTTATTGGAGACTATTGTGAAAATTGATGAAAATACTCGAAGCAAGAAGTGTTTATCCAAAGATGCCTATTAAACAACATCTTTTGTCTTAATGAGTTCTATACCGATCGATAGCCTGGGCATCGCTCTTCCGAATGGTGAAGACCACAGCTCTCTATCTTATTCGTATCAAAAGTTATTCGAAAAATGGCAACCTGCCTTTTATTTTGAAACGGACATTAGGTATGAATGTGTTTTTCTGTAAGGGTTGGATTTCTTTCAGATGAATGTGCCTTCTGCTCAATATGTCACTTGTCGAGAATAGGTCTAGCCAGTGACGTTTGATCGAGATTGTATTTTCAGCCTGACATATTGAGTGGCGAAGAAGTACTATGCTTAGAGCAAATCGTGTTTGGTGTTGATGGATGCTGTGTTCTTTAACAATGCAAATCATCTATCTTATCTTTTTTCATGTCAGCGACTGAAAGTGCAACTGAACATATAGAAGAGATCGTGATTAAAGTCAATCAATCGTGTGACAGTCAATTTAGACCAGCTATTCGAGTTTCCGTGGTTGTTTATTTTGAGTTTTACTTCGTGGTTGAAGCAGTATGAACTGAGATATGTATCTCTTCGAGAAAATTGAGTCGCTAAAATACTAATCATCTTTTTATTTGACTCCCGGTTATAAAGAAAATAGGTTTCCTGGTAAGTACGAGAGAAGATACTCTTCCTTAACCGGTCATGATTTGATTCTCTTCGAATACAGTTACTGTTAAGCATCATTGTATTTATATATGATAGTAGTTTTTCGGAATTAAGTTTTAAAGCCTCGCATAAATTTTATGCAGATATTCAGGACATGATAACGCGTTGCTTTGAATAGATTATTTCTATTGCTGCTATTTTATGCGCATTACTCTATATCATTGCAAATCTTTTAAAGTATCACACGGAAATTGGAAATCGTATATAACATGTAGACATAACAATTTTAGCAATCTGAGTAACAAGACTAAGAATGAATTGTTCAGAGTGTCAGATTTGTAGTCCAGTTCAGTTAAAGCCTATCCATTGTAATCACTGACATCTGCTCATTTTGAATGACATCATGTGATTGTTGCTTCCTTATTGACTTTATATTTGCATTGTATTCTATAATAAGACATTGAACAATATATTGATTACTAATTCTTTTTGTTGGTGATTTTCGCTGATTGAAATTCAAGTATTTCAATTATTCTTTTTCTTTACATTATTTTAGCACATAAAACTACACCGGCTACAACAGATATATCTGTAATTTTGCCTAAAAGAGGTAAGTTTAACTTTTGAATTATATACGAGTGAATTTGAGAATGTCGAAAAACTTATTTACTTTTATCAGAATGTACAAAAATGCAAGATGTATTACCATTGGGTTCAATAGTTTTCTCATCTGTGAGTATCAATGGTAAATCTATTGAATCAACTGCTATTCCAACTTGGCTCGCAGTGACAAAACTACCTTTTATCATTCAAGTTACCTTCAAAAATGTGAGTATATCATGTTTCTTGCAATTATTTGAAATGTTATTTTGCTCTATAGCCTGCTACTCTTCGTGAAGTTTCGGTGATTAATCCTTCTGATTCAAAAATAACCTTGATTAAAGTTGCCACCGATCAAACTGACGATAAATTCAGTACAAATTCAAATGCACCAATCGTGACATTCGAGAGTGACGTAGAATATGTCGAAGATCTAACGATCACATTAGTTTCCACGAAAGACAATATGTTGCCAGAAAATCCAGTGAAGTTATCTATATTAGCATGTGTACAATACGAACCTATTTTGGCAAAACCAGTAGTCGAACAAAGTGAGTTAATGTGTATTTATGCATTAGCAATTATTTTATATTAGCGTTTTTTCCTATATATTTAGCCACAGCAATTACTGCCTTATCCTCTAATATACCACCAATAACTGCTAGCACAAGTCCATCGAAGAATATAACAATTCCTCAATTTTCGATGACATCATCTATTACTTGTGAAGAGGATATTGCACTCATTCCAGAACAGAGCAATAGTGAGAACAATTTATTAGTACCTCGTTATTTTGTGAAACCACGAACACCACATAATCCAATTGATGTAAATCCAGGAGAAATTGGTGTCTCTTTTCCTCCATCGGACAAAGCATATATTATCATTTTCCCAATATCACCGGCAGCTGTCATTAAATCAGTTCGCTTACCGAAAACAACTAATGTTGATCAAATGCGTGTCTTGTTTTTGGATGCACAAGATAAGCCCATGATTGCTCAACCATCAGATCATGTTCCATTACAAATAACTTCGAAGTTGGAAAAAAATCCAACAATCAATGTGAATCTTTCAGAGAAAGTAAATGCTGTTCATATTACATTGATACACACAAGTGACAATCAACCACCAGAAGGTGTAACGGTTGAAATAGTTGTCTGCATTGAACCATCAAAGGCAACACCAAAACCTATTGTGACAACATCTAAAATACATACCACACCTGCCATCAATTACACATCATCAATATCATGTAAGAATATCAAAATAATATATATATACAATTGTCGTTTTTTTGTGTTTATAGATCCTGACAGTCCTTGCAAACCTAAACGAAAACCTCCTGCCCATGTGGTCATTGGTGAATGTATTTCCCGAGAAGAAATTCAACAAGAATCATGTGCTGGTCATTGTCCATCATACGAAGAGCTGGACCCATTAACTGGAGATGTCACAGAAAAAGAATGCTTGTGTTGTGCACCAGATTTAACTTATACTGAACCAATTATAATGGACTGTATTAATACAATAACAGGACGAAAGGAACAACGAACATCTCAAATTGTTCGTATTCGATCATGCAAGTGTTCAATGTGTTTAGGAACTGGAATAAAACCTCATTCCAATGATGAGAAGACATATGAAACAAGCGACAAAATCAATCGTTCGAAAATAAAAACAAAAACACGTCGACGATAAGAAACTACAGACAAATAAATACATATATCTGACATTTTGAATAATATTTTATGGGTGATAGGTTATTAAGGGTTAAATACATATATCATTACAGTTAATCTAATTGATTTGTTCTTCTTTTTTTCTTCTTTTTGATTCCAATCAAATCATACCTCTTTTTCTCATTAAATTATCTGTCAACAATATTAATGGTGACCTTAAATGATATAAATTTTTACTACACAGGTAACACAAATATATCATTCATTTAAACTAAAACAGAACAAGATTTAATTCAATTTCTTTTTACTTCTATCACTCAAATCAAATTATATTTCATGTTCAAATATCAAAGTTTATTGTGTTAGTCGCTTAATTTAATCAAATGTGTAAAGTGTGGGAGAGATAACTTAGTATATGATCATCCTCGATTAATATTCGACTTCTCAAATCTTTATGATTGCAAATTTTAAAACATTTTCACGGCTTCATTTAAAATCTTATTGATATAGTAACATTTCATTAATCTACCAAAAGATTAAATTAAAAACAATTTACATACTTGATGATGTACATAATTATTTACCTCATCTAGTACTACATACATATAGGTTTTTGTATGAGTGTTCATATATACTTTTACTTTTCATCGCTTCCCAACGAATCAGTGAAAACTCATAGATAATAAAACAGTCAAAAGCACACATGTAAGAAAAAAAGATCAACACAAAAAGAAACAATATAGTCTTTTGTTTTGCACATTTTCATAAAAACACTTCGACATGAACAAACATATGAGAAAAAAAACCGATTTGTCAACTTTTATGCGAGGAAAAAAATAGAAATTTGACACTGAGGACATGAAAATTAATTCAATCAGCGATCATTCATATCTCAAACATGCGTGGATTTTATATGTGATATAAAATGCTACGTTCTATTTAGTTTGTATCATACGTCGAGACAAACTAGTACAAACACACAAATATTGACACTTCCTTTTTATATCTGAAGGTAGACTGCTACAATGTAAGAAGATAGGAATTGAATATAAAAGAAAAAAAATTTAAGCGTGAGCATGACGTTAATATTCAAATGCTTTCTGTTGTGTAGTATCGCCTTGTTCGATACTATTTGATAAATAAAGAGATTGAACAAGTTTCTTTTCACGATCCCATGGCACAAATATACGTGATACATGTGTTTTTTGATCAACAACAGCTGATTGACTTCGTTGTCGATTTGATAATTTTTCATTATCATGGAGATTATTATTGTTATTATTTAAATTTTCATTTGAACTATAAATTAAAACACCACGAAATGGTTGTCTATCCTCGGTTAAATCATAAACAACAGTTTGAAATTCTCTTGGTACTTCCCATTCGACTTCATTTAACTGACTAACACTAGCAAAACGTATTCGATTCGAAGATATTGGAATAATTGATTCATTTGGAATAGTTTTCTCAATTGCACTTGTCGGATAACCGATTGGTATCGATTCGTCTGTATTTATTTTGACTGATATTCGTGGTGATTCATCAAATTTTGATGGTGTTCGACTACGATATGTTTGAGAATATTGTGTCGAAAGTAAATCAAGTGGTGGTGTTGTACTAGTACTACCTTTAAGAATAGATTTAGGTACAAGTGTTAAATTATTACCGCCGAATGATTCAGTCGATGTATCTGTTCGTTGTATATGCGAATGAATAATTTCAGGACGATGAAGAGAATGAAATTGAAAATTTTGTAATTCATCATCATCATCCTCGTATTGATCTCGATATTGCCGAAAATCAATCACAGTTGGACGAGGAGGTGAAGATTGATGTGTGTAAAGATAATCATCTGTTGGATAAGAACGTATCTCATAATCAGCTGGTGGTAATTGAGCAGTATTTATCAAACTGTTTGTTGTTGATGGCCGTAATTCAATCCAATTTAAATTTTGAGATGAAGAAGGAAATTCTGTCAGTAAAGATGATGCTGGTGGAATAAATTCATTATCATCATTATCATTACGATAATAAGCCAAATTTTGAATACCACTATCAAAACTTATAGTATGATTTTGTTCTCGAATAGTACCAACAAGTGCTAATTCATCAGCATGTGGAGGACGAAGAATGGTTGATTGAAATTGTGAAGGTGTACCACTATTACCTTGAAAATATTCATATTCTTCTCGCTATAAAAATAAAATGTGACATATTAATCTGATATAATTATGAATTCATTTTTTTGTCTTAAAAATAAATAATAGGTTTGAGTGTAAAAAACGTATGATAAAACCGATTGACTTAATTGATTGCTTATTCTTGTATAAACAAAAAATATCTTTCGCTCTCTTTTTTACGTTTGATTAACAAAAAAAAACCAGTATTTGAACTGAATAACGAATCATTCGCCTTGAATAGCGATCAACAGGGTAACATCAAGTGGTAACTTGATATAAGATATCAATCGTTAGAATAATAATTTTTTTTTCGAATATTCATAAGAATTAATGAGAATAAAAAAAAGAATTACCTTAACATAAAATCGTTTTGGTTTAATACGATTAGAACAGCACCGGCATAGACAGATGACAAATAAAATTTCTAATAAAATTATGGAACAAATAGCCCATAAAACTAAATTTGTTTCCAATTGATTCATCATCTATCGACAAGATAGGCAATGGATAATCCCTGTAGTAAAAAATAAATAAATAAATAAAACCAATTCCTAGTCAACAAGTATAAGTTTGTAAGTTGCGTAATAAATGAGACAATACGAATGAGAAGGTTATCTCTAGTTGATGATCCGTATATTAGAAAAGATGTTATTTATCAAAAAAAACGACTATGATTACCTTCAAATATTAAAGACAGTGTCATACAAAATACAACTCAATGCTCAATATGAAGTAGTAGGTCATCGTATGGTTCAATTGGTGAAAAAAAAACAAACATATATATATAGACATATGTATGATGTAATCCTTTTGAGTATTTTTACCCTGAAGCCTATTTGAACAAAAAACGACTGATCGAATTTCGATGGGTCTGTTTTCAAAACGAATTTGTCATAAATAAGATTAATCGTAGATATCTCAATGCGCACGCGTTTTCTTCCTGTATCTGATCATATTGATCATATTTCGAAAGTATGAAGAGGTGCGAATAAATTGCTTCGACACGTCTATATTAATGTAAGCGAATAAAGGGACCGAAGACGATGTCCTATTACTGTTATTATAGAACTAAAAGTATATAAAACATTTGATCTTATATTGTTCAAATAATAAAAAAAACGATTTTTTTCACTTCTCTATTCGAACTCAATTCGATAAAAACTAATAAAAATGAATGATCTGTTCTCAATTTACTGTCTGAAAAATCGACATATTCGTTTTACTTTTTTCTTCTTTATCCTTATTCGAATTGTTTTTTTTTTGACATAGAATAAGAATACATTCAATTTTGTTGCTCTTCCTTCTTATAGCGTGGTTTATGTCTAATCCGCAGTTGCAATCATTTCACACACTTGAAAAATGTCCGCACATTCTTTACTTTTTTTGTATCTTAGTTTCTTTTTTTTATCGATTGTTATTTTTGACTACATTAAGCACATCTATATATATATGATTTAGCTGCTTGCAAAAATCTATTGTTTTTCTATGTCATCTTTTGCAGACAAGAATACATAACAAAGGAAGAAATCATACAAGTATTTAAGTGAGAAAGAAGAAAGAAAACGTCTGTTTTAACTTACGCATTCCTTTTGATTTTTTCAATTGAAGTTTTGCCCTAATTCTTGACATCTTCTCTTCTCGAAATTTTCATATAACATCTAATCATTTTTTTGTGCTCACCTGAGCATTATTGGCATTTTTTTTACAAAGTGAAAAGCACGACGAGCATTACCGAAAGGGGAAAAAAAAGAAAAGAACAAAGAAAAAGATTAACTGAAGTATATAGATTTTCTGCTCTATGCATCCGTTATTATGATAAACAAAAGAAAAATAATAAAAAAATATCATACTACATTTCGTTCATTCTTTCAAAATACTTACATAAATTGATTTTATTACGAGACGAGACATTGAAAATGATAAGATATATATTTGAACAAGATAGATTTGTGTGCCATGCGAAAGTAAACTGACTTTCTTTTGTATTTTTATTCTAATCTATGTAGACTTTGGCCTAAAGGTAACGTTGAGTTTCGGCATATATCTAACACAAGAATATAAAACTGAATATTTATAAAAGAAAAACACACTAGTAAGTGAGGGAGATGAATGAGTTGGAGGGAGAGAGAAGAGAAAAAAAGGAAAAAAAACGTTGTGTGAGAGTGTGCGTGTGCGGCTTCTTCATCGTTCTCCTTCGGCACACACACATATATATATATATATAGTTTAATAATAAAGTTCAGATTTTACGATGATGAACGAGCCAACTACCTTGTCTATCTAAAAAAAGGAATGTTGATGCTGACAGAACGCAACATTTGTCCAATTATCGGTTCTGGCACGACAAGTGAGATTGGAAAAGAATCAACACGAAGAAAAAACATAACTGTGAAACTAACGATAAAAAAATGAAAGTCTCTTGCCTGTTTTTAGTTTCTTCACACTACGACCATTCCAGTGTCGTTTTTTTTTTGCTATTTATTTGAAGTGTACTCTAGTAATGTGCACATCAAGTTGGCACTTTTTCTACTATAAAAAAATAATACCAAATGGAGTCATTGTGGTATAAAAGATTAACAATTCTACGATTCTATCTTAATCTACTTTTTTTTTTCTTTGTATGCTTGGCATAAAAATAATGAAAAGAAAGAAAAATGGCAAAAAAAAGGACGCAAGGCTTAATGCACACCTCATATTGAAGGTCAATCACTAGTTTTTATGTTTTTCTACATGTATGTTCTTAATGAATATTGATTTTGTTAGATATGTGTATACTTTTGAATTTTCAATGAACTGTTCATGATACAAATGCACTTGAATTGCCTTGCTTTTGTTGTTGTTATTTTGGCTGTTCCCCTTTTTGTCTCTATGTCTGCTGGTCACGCTCTTGAGTGTGTAAAAGTACTCGTTAAAAAAAGAACACATTTTATTCTTCTCCTCTGCCACTCTATCGTTTCAAAGAAAATTAACGTCTTGTTAATCGATCTCACACTATGCAAGCCAATACGTGCCCGTATCGTAATTAGAAAAAGCCGAAAGGAACGAGAACATATATAGACATACATCACGTCAAGCACTCTCTTGTTCGTTTGTCGAATAGGCTTAACAAAAAAAAAAAGCATTGACATTTCGACAAAATTGATGACATCATCTTTCATTTACTCTTATTCACATACAAATCATTATTGACCATACATATATATATATATATGTATAGTCGTATATACATGTATAGATTTGTTTTTTTAGTATATAGATGAGCTTGTTTGTTTATTTGTAAGAAAACAAGAGAAAAAAAAGAAAATGGTTTCAAATGAATATGAATATATTTGTAGTATTTAAACAGCGGTACCACGTTCCAAATTTTGCTTGATTTCGGCTGTATATTTTCCATAATAACGTTCGATTTTTTTATTAAATGCCCGATTACGTTCATTGATATAATCAATATCAGCATCAATATCAAATGCACGTCGTCGAGAAAATTTTCCACGTTTCGAATATTGTTGTTCAAGATCTTCAACCATATGATTAACCGATGCTTCACTTGGTTTGTGCGTACCATGAATCAGTGAACTTGATGTTGCATAATAATCTTCACCTCTACAAATTTAATAGATGTACATATAAGTGTGATGATTTATCATATCAACGATAAACTTACAATTCTTCTTTTTGTTTATTACATGCTTCCATATCAGGTTTTATTTGTGCAGTCAATTTTGTGTAAGCACGATAAGTACATTGCTCATAATCTATGAATAAATGTATGTTTAATAAAGTTCTCATTTGTGTTGAAAGAGACCTTCGAATGTCATAAAAAAGTAAGTACGATTTCTATTTAATGTCATAATAAGCAACTTAATAACTGTTAAAGTAACAGAATATAGAAGGTCAATAGGTTACAAATCTAGTTGAACAAAATAATAACCAATGAAACACTCTTTTTCAGAATTTTCTTTATTCTTAAAAAAAAACACCTATACTTTTCTTTCTCTCTCTTCATTCCTCCGTTCAACTCATCATAATATAATTCTTTATTTTGTAACAGTTTCTATGTCAATAGAATTTAAAAATACCAATAGGGAAAGATTTAACTTACTATCGAATCCGACATCGGGGTTTTTTTTCTTGCGTTTTTTCTCCCATTTATCACATTCTTCAGCTGTCCAATCTAGTTGTTCAACACGTTCGTAATCAAGACCAGCATCAGCAGCTTCATGTCGTCGTTTATTTTGTTCTTCTTGTTTTTTAACACGTTCGCAACGCCGTTCATAATTTGTTGGCAAACTTTTTCGATGATCTTCTTCAATAACTTCAGCATGATTTAATTTTCGAGCTTCATTCTTTGATTAAAAAAACATACTTTTTAAATTAAATCTAAATTATAAGTCGCTTCTAGGGAATGGCTATTTTTTGCATGTCATCTTCCACTTATCTACTGAGTTCGTAGTTCCTATATTTCCTATATATAAGAAATAGCTCTGTATCGCTCTATATCTGAAGTGAAAATCTTAATGTTCTATATTTTAGTAATCAGTGCCATGTACGACTAGAATATAGAAAACTACCATCTGTATTTCAAGTATAGAACAATATAGAGCTATTTCCTATATATAGGAAATAGGGGAACTACGAAGGGTGCTTATCTAATATGTTTCATAAAAAATAAATTATACAACCAGGTATACGAAAAAAACAACTTAATTTATACAGACATCTTTGTTTTATGAAAAAAGACAAAATTCTGCATGACCAATCTCCAGCATTGCAAATAAGATCTTTTTCTTTTGGTAAATAAACGATTTTTTTATCTCATATATTGAAGAAAATTACTTTCCATTAAAGTATTTTTATGCTGCTAATCGACAGGAAGCAAATAGACAAGAGAACATAAATTAAAAAGGCTAAGTATTCAAAAAGAATTATGACGTGATTAGGTACAGTCCTCGACGAAAGTTCTAGAACACATAAGAATGACTGTTCGAATCAGAATTTCATTCTACTGTACGATTTTTGTTGTTTTCTTTTTTGTTTATATAAAAACCAGGAGCTTTGCGTTTATACAGTAGAAAATGAAAGCTTGAACAATGATTGTCCTTACTTTAGATAAAAGCTTTGATTCATGTAAGAAAGGAAATTTTCGAACAGTCATTCTTATATGTTCCAGAACTTTTGTTGAGGATTGTACATCTAAAAATGGTCTCACGTCTTCGATTGCATTTGAATCTAGCGAAATGTATTACATGAAAATTATATTGAAGTTGTTCTTTGACATGTACAATCTGAGGGCAATCTACTTTGAAAGGTGAGTAACTAGGAGTAAGCACTCGTACTTGGCTCCGCTCGGACGGCTGTTGGTCGACAATATGATCTATCAATAAGACAATGTAATGTCTCGTACACATCAGCAAACATTTACATGATGCACGGAGTATTTCGGGCATTTCATAGACAAACATTGATGAGCAACAAAAAATTTTCATCTCAACGCTTTGGTATATGATGTATGGAACACAGCATCGGCAATAATAGGCAATAAAATAACCTAAAAACTAGCACTCTATTATCATTGACGTAACAAAAAAAAATAATCATTCTCGTAGCACCAAACAGAGGTTTTTGTAAAAAAAAATGTGTATGTAAAATACATTTTTCTTTGTAAATTTTAGAGCATTTTCCAAGACATCTTATCTTATATTTTGTTTTTTTGATAAAAAATGCTAGTTGATGAAAAGATGACATGTAAAAAGTGGAAATTCATTATAACCACTCGTCAATTGTTTATACATACTCGTCGATAATGTAGTTCTTTTAAACGAGCAAGTCGTTCAGTACGTTTACTGTCTGTATCAGTCGTAGATTTTTCTTTATCCATCTGAAACACAAAAATTAAACAATAATCAATTCTACTTAGAAAAAATTATGTTTTTCTCATTTCTTGTTCTTCTTTATCTTTTAGTATATGAAATAATTTATGATCTGTAAATAATGAAATATGTTTTTCTAAATCATAGATAGATAATTGAGTTAATGGTAATGATGAAACTTTACAGATTGATATGATTTGTAAATAACGTTGTATGCACTCATCAATATTTTTTTGATCAGATTTTTCATGTTCAATAAAATTTTGAATGGTAATAAGTAATTGTTCAAAATAATCTGATGGAAAAATATTCTTTTGTAAAACATTATTTTGATCTGATTTCTGTATAACAATTGAAAATAAAAATGAAAGAATTGACGTATGAAAATGATCAAGATGTAAACATAATGATGATGATTCAAATGCACGAAGAGGAAATAATACATTCAGACGAATCATTGAAGGCACAAAATTAAATATAGATGAATTATCTATTTAGAAATAAAAAGGATTTAATGAAAATCAGATAGTTGATATAAATCTTTTTTATTCTATGTTTTAAAAGATGTCATTGGAAGTCTATATTAGATGATAATCGAATATCCTAGCAGAAAAATTCGGGAATATACTCGAAAAAAATTTTTATATAATTACAATAAGTACTATTGTGTAGTCATCATTTATAGGAATGATATTCGTAATTTTCTCGTTATGAATTTTTCATGAAATACTCAATGCTATTCTTCCTGAATGTTTTCAGTCTCTTGTGATCTGGCGAGTATAAAACCAAGCATTTCTTATAGAATTATTTATTACTATTTCTTTCGATAAATGATTAAAAAATCATGTATACACATTATTCATTCAATGTTCATGCTGTTTAGATTTAACTTTACCAGACCTTGCTTCTGTAATGACAAATAAAAACTAATGGTTCTGAACACTAGTACAAAAATATAAACGATTTAAATTCTACAAAAAAATATTGCAATGAAATCGAGGTCTTTAGAAAAAAATAAAGCTGTATCGGATGTACAAGTGTGCAGAGTAAGCTGTTTTTGTATCTTGATTGAGAAAAATTTTTTGTAGCTTTTATACCTTATGCTATAGTGTTCTTACCATATGAAGTATTTATCTCACTCTCCTTTAATCCTACCGTACTTGGAAGATTCTAAAAGTGATAAATAACAAAGTAGTATTACGTTAGAGATATGACAAGCAAGTTCTTTTCGTCTTCTGATTAAGACAAAATTTTCTAATTCTGAAGAATAACTATTAGCCATTTCAAAATAGAAGGGTGGTGAGTATTTTTCTAATAACTTTCGCTAGAAAGCAGATACGGACCTGCAATTTTCACTGTTGAAAAGAGAGAATGACGATGCATCGAATCATGTATTACAAACTTTCTCGGTAACTTTTTTTGAGTGCTTTTTAATCGAGGTTTTGGCAAACTAGTGTACCGCCTTCAGTCATCATAGGGAATTTTCGATTTTTAGAAGTGCATCAGTACGACCAATCGAAGATCTACAGAACTGCGCAAGGTTCAAATTTTTAAACTGTAACTTTCGGACTTATAGATATTTTACTGTGGGCTTCTACCTGATTTTTTTGAAATAACTAGGCGAAAATTCTACATTTTAGCTAAATTTTCATAAAAATTTACTGTACTAATCGAGTGCAAACCTACACATTGTTTTGAAAAAATTCAATAGAAACTCTCAAAACACTTGGCAATAAACTCTCTAATATATTATTCAATGCGTCTTCATCTTCTCTTTTCAACGGTGAAAACTACAGATCTCTATCTTATTTCTATCAGAAGTTATTCAAAAATACGCACTCTTCTTATATTTTGAAATGAATAACAATTATTATATACGGATATAAAAAATATTTATTTACTTTGTGCAATAAATTCTTGTTGTAAAGTAACAAGTAATAAATTAGTCGAATTTGTTAAACCATATGTAAGTAATTCAATAAGCATTTGAATTATTTTTTTATCTATAATAAGATTTTCTTTATCTAATAATATACATGTTTGTTTAATAAAACATAATGTAAATAATGGTGATATTGTACAAAGATTATTAATAGATTTAGTTATCGCTAATGCTATATGTTCATGTATAATATATTCAATAATTTTTGTTATTAACGAATCCATTGTTTTTGATATTGTTAAAAACCATCGTGCTATTATCGTTAATGTTGGTTTTGATTCAAATGATATAGAAAGTGAAAGAAACTTTAATATTAAATTATAATAAAGTGTAAATAATGGATGATCTGAATCCGAAAGTATATCAAAAAATATAATATCAAAAACACGTGTTGAGATTGTTAAATCAGATTGTTTTTCAAGAAATTGTCTTAATAAATCAAGTGTATGAAGTTCTTGAATATTATTTAATGTTTTTATCCATATAGTTTGAGATGGATTGGTATTTGATGTTGATAATGAATGACAAAATATAAAACGATTTGCTAGCATAGACAAATCTTTACGTGCAAACATTGAGCATTCACGTATAGCAATTAATGCTGCTTCAACAGATGCTGGAAATGTATGTTGATGTAATAATTGTGTAACTTTATCAATTGTTAATTGTCCACTATCCATAATTTAAAAAATATCTACAAGCAAAAACAAAAAAATAAGAAAAGTTTCAAATAGTTATAATAAATAATTGATCATCAGTCAAAATATATGTTCGTTCATTTGTTGTAATAAGACCAAGTATTTCATTATGATTTTCAAGTGATATCATATGTTGTTTTGCAATATTTTCAACAAGTTTACCACTCTTTCGGTTACGTAATGATGAACCAGATAGATTTGATGTCGGAGAATTTTGTTTATAAATATATAGATGTGTATTTGTATCAGATATTATTGCATATGAATAATCATTTGGAGTAGAAATAAATTTACGACTTTGTTTAGATGCTTGAACATAACCAAATGCATTTAATGTTGCTTCATGAGTCCATGGTGCTTGATCATTAGATACTATGGAATTTATATGCCAAATGAGTCCATCGACCTGAAATTAAGAATTTTTATCTAGTTATAGTGTGACGCTCAAAATTGATCATACGTCACAAGCACAAATGACCGAATATTATACTTAACATTTTATCCTTTTTAATGTCAAATTGCATTATTAAATGTGTCTTTCCATTGAAAAGGACAAAATGCGAAATATAACATTCAGTCATTTTTTATTGAGATTTATGATCAATTTTTAGTATTTCTAGTCTGACATAGATTATGTAAGACATAATCATACGACGAACTATGGAAACAGGACTATTTTTTGGCAAAAATTGCAGTACTATACAGTGTTTCATCTAGGTTTCATTTCCCGAGTGGACGAGTCGACATTTCGGGTGGGCGGCGCCCACTCGACCCATCCAGTAGATAAATCACTGGTACTATATTAGTGTCCTGCATGGGTACGACTTTTTGCAACCAGATTCAGATAGCTGCAATCGACTAAAGATAATCGACATCCAGCAAATACTTTCACAGTCATAGTATGCTTTTCAACCTCCTATTTATATATGAAAATGTAAGCTATTTAGTTTCTTCCGCAAACAGCAACAAAAAAAACAGCAAATGAATCAAGTTATTTACGATTCATCTGGTGTCTTTCTTCTTTTAAAATCTGATCGATTTCGCTAAGTATACGTTTGCTTTTTGGTGGCCACGCTAGAATGAAACGCAATGCTGGTGTCAAACGTTACAATTGTGAATACATGTATAAATGCTTTTTTAATTAAGATAAAACATGTTCACCAGAGACCTACACATCTGACTCATTTTTAAGAGCATTTGAAGCTATCTAAATTATCTACCAGAAAATAGAGTTGTACATTATGGGTTGTTTTTGAATGGTGAATTTTATTTTTTGATATTTATTGTGCAAACTTATATGTTGGGGAGGCTCGACTACGATCTCCTTGGGGCTTATCAAGATTGATTCTGACTTCTTTGCATGAACATAAGTCTCGAAGAGATACTACTCAAACTTTGAAAATATATCGGTTTGTGCAGTGAATACCAAAAAATTTCTTGTGTTAAATCTGATTTATTAATAAAACAATTAATTGTTTTCAAAATTGATTCCGATGCAGATGTCTATTGATCGTCCCTTTGATAATTCGTATTTCTTTCCATGTATTCAGTAACTTTACCATTATCTGTAGATAAATTTTCATTAAAAACGAATTCTTTTAATAAAATTACATCACTTTTCATTTCTGTCATCTGTTGTCAAGGACAATAAATTTCTCAGATTTTATACAAATTAGCAGCTTGAAAAAGGAAAAATATTTTTAAACGTCGAGATCTTATTTATTGTCGGATCGAATAGAGAACATTACTCTGTATATTGAAGCTATATTGAAATATTACAAAAACAAGACAACCGCTTTAATGTATGATGGATTTTGAACATCATTGTAGATGATATAGAGCAAAAAAAAAAGAGTTTTTAGTAAACGACTTACATCATGACGAATACATAGTGATGGTGGATTTAATTTTGTAAATAGTATTTGATTATAAATCAATGCTTGATGTGTAATAGAATGTGTATCACCATCAAATCGTGATAAAAAATTATCAGTATCATTTGCGTATTGATCACATTCTTCAAGTTGTTGACTATTATATGGTTGTTTAATTTCATCGTCTTCTTCAATATTATTCGTTGTTTCAGGTAGAGAATTCATTTTAATGTCACCTGATATAGCTTGACCTTCTTTAAATATTTCATTCCAAAATGATCCAATATTAGATTTATGTAAAGTTATTGATAACTGATTGCTTTTATCTTTTGTAACTACGTATGAACTTTCTTTTGGATCAATATTGTCATAAAGTTTAGCATTAATTAATATAACATCATTAACTGAACATTTCAAATGATTAGATTCAATATTAACTGACCATTGTTGTGGTTCATTTGTTTGAGTATCAATTTCTATTTCAATAATACTATGAGTTTGTGACCAAATATAATGAAGAGGTGATTCAATCTTTTCAATGACTAATTGTTTGGGTATGTCTTCTTTTTTAACCTATTTAAATGTATTTAATTTTAAACTATATAGAATGTTTCATAAGTCTTGAGACGCGACAAAATTAGTTTTTATTCAGATAGAAAATAGTCTGTAACGGAATGTTTGCATATGAAGCTTGAGTACTCTTATCAATCTTTTACATGACATATATTTGGATAATATCTTCTCTTGTAATAATAAAATATATAAACATGAAAATACATTTTTCACAATTGATCAACAAGATATATTACTTTGATGACACAAACATCTCATATAATTATCATGTATTGCTCATTCACTAATTTTTATTAATTCACCAACTCTCTTAAAAACTTTATTGATCATTATAAGTTAATTATTTAATTTTTTGTGTAATCTAATTTTTATTTACTTAAATTTCCTATACACCTTCCGCTAGCTACATGTCACTAAAATTTAGCGTCATCTTGTTGAGATAGAACTCGATTATTAAATAATTCATCAATAGTTTGTTAGGATCCGCCATCTATATAATATATATAGATGGTCGGTCCTCCTTCGTCTTCTTTTCAACCGTCTCTTTTTCACTTCACTAGTCAATTGTTGTTGTGTTTATTAAACCGAGTGAAGACGTATTTGTTGGTTTTGTTTACTTTTTGTGAAAGATTAGGTTCTTGTTATATTATTTTAAATAAAAAGAATAAGGAACTTAACATAGTTCAAAATATAATCTTTATGCTTCGTATTTTGTTCTTCACGTGACGTTTTGATTTATTTTATACATTTTAATTCGATTACTGAGTAAATAGCTTAACTGAACACACAACCAATGGATCACGATGAGCGTTGAAAAAAACACTTATTGTCTTTTTTTTATGTAGAATCTGTCAGTCCCTTCTTAAAACAAAACTTTGGTTGGCTGTGAAAAATTTATTCTCCCATTATTACAAGAGAAAACTTTATCCAATCATATATCACTTGACAGATTGACACAAGCACGAAAAGCTTATATAAAAAAAATTCGGCTAAGCACTATTATTTACCTTCATGTATAAACTAATTTCTTCGTACTTCAACTAGGGCCCATAGAGTTGGTCCAAGACCAGAGTTCGAAAATTTTGGAACTAATGGACGCTGCAGTATGTTTAGATTTCCAAAAAAAAAAGTGGATTTCCTTCGAAGCATTAAAATCAATCGAAAACAATAACCAGAAACTTATCCGTACAAAGACTGTGAAAATACTTCAATAAACGGAAAATTCTTCCGCAATTACAAAAAAGTTTTGAAATTACTCAAATTCAACGAGGAACCTTGTAGAAATTTTATGCAAACACAGCTGTTACCATATTCAAAACTATAGATATTACTGAGAGGCTTCCTGAAAAATGCTATATTTTCGAACAGATGGCTTCGATTACTTTAAAGATAATTAGGGTAGCATCAGAATTTTCTTCTCGGTATAGTTTCGCTGTGAGAGTAATTTCTGAAATTCAATTATTTATGGAGAAAATTTACTTTTTCCAAAAATCTAAACTCTAGTGCAAACGCTATCCTCAAGACTCATGAAACCTTCTGTATAAATTATTAGTTTTTATTCTTTACCTCAATAAGTGAATCAAATGTAAATATATACAATCCTTCAGCAGCAATATATAATCCTTGTCCATTAGATTCAATTGCTACAAAATCGGGCCATTTTTTTCCATTTAATGTTCGTCTTCTTGTTAATTTCATTTCATTTGATGATTCCAATGAAAATGTTACCCAAAATAATTGACATTCTGTTTGAATAAAACCAATAATTACATGTAAATAACCTTGATAACAAACAGCATGTAATAATCGTATAGGTGTTGTTAAATATTCATCGAAATCTTCTTCATGTAAAAGTTTCCACTTGGAATTATTATTTGTATTTAAAATAAATAATTTCGAACGACCATCACATACAAAAACAAGTGAATCAGTTATAAAAGCCATTGATCCATATAATGTATTTTTTGGTAATTGATAAACAATTGTTGGTTGTTGCATATGTGAAAATGACTCATTCGATGATAAATTTATTTTTTGTATTGAATACATTTGATCAAAAAAATATAAATCATTATTATTTATATAAAGTTGATTTAAAGATTTAAATCCTTTTATACTATTATATGTATATAAATCATTATCAAGTTGTATATCTTTTTGTACATGAATATTATTATCAAATTTTAATGTATATTGTGCAAGTGGTTCAAGTGTTAAACGATAACCATCAAATTTTGCATTTAATAATTTTTGTTGTGGACGAAATTCACGCCATTCACTCATGATTTGTTTTCTATCTGAAATAAGTCAAGAAAAAAAATGAAATAAGTTTCCTGGACGGAGTAACATTGTATCTTATCGTCACATAGGAACTGAAAAAAGAAACAATAAGGTCTAATACAAAACACAAACAACAAGAACAGAATAAAGAAAAAAAAAGAAGGCTATACAATAAAGATTTTTATTTTATTGTTTAGTTGTTCATGTGGCTGTATGATTAGACATAAATCGTTCATCATCATCATCATCGTTGTCGTTGTCATCATCATCGTCTTCTTCTTGTTCATCATCAACAACATCAAAACTTCGTTTATTTGTTTTTACTTTTGTATAATATTGATTTGTATATGTACGACTTATTTGATGATTAATGTAGAGTAAATTTGATTGATTTGTAGATGTTGTTGATGGTAATGGTAATGGATCTTGATAAGGTACACTTAATTGTTGTTGAAATGGCGAACGATTTGTTGTTGTTGATATTGCAGAAGATGTTGAAAGTGTTCGTCCAACATTATTTGGACCAGTTCCCATTCGATTAGCTAAATCATGAAGAAATGAAAGACGTGCATCAGCATATATAAATTGTCGAATATGTTCAGGTGTTAAAGTTTTAGCTTGAAGTGAAATTGTTATTGATGCTGATTTTGTAATAAGTTCTTCAAGAAATTGTTCTAATGCACGTGCTGCAATCACCGGAACTGTTGCTGAAAGTTTTCCTACCTAGAAGATAAAAACACAAAAAAAAAAATTTCTTTTTTGTTTATAAATAAACTCTTACTTCTTCATCTTTTTGCATTAGCCGCTTGATCCGAGCAGGCAAAAATAATGTATTCGGCTTTCTACGATTTGGCATAAATCAGATCTGAAAATAGATAAGAAAAAAAAATATGCGTTACACTTGTGTAAGAAAGACCGTGCATCAATATATATTTGACGGAAGAGAATGAGAAAGAGATATTCTTAAGATGGAATTGCTACTGTCAACGCTTTTTTCATAATGATTTGTGGCGCTAAACAATAATTCGTTATATGATATGAATTGAAAAAATAGATATTTTTCTTTATTTTCAATGGTTTCTTTGAAATGACCAACTGGGAAATGACAGAACGGCACTGATAATATTCGATTGAGAAAAAATTTTATAGAAAAAAAATATTTATTCAATTTCAATTTGTAATTTTGACCTATATTTGATAAGTAGGTCACAGAAGATAAAGAATTTCAATGTTTTGTCGATTTCTTGACCAATGGTTATCAGTCAATTGTAAATCGTTTCTTAAAAGATCTGCATTACTGTACAGTATGAAACGGTATGTTAATAGAGAGAATATCATGGTCTCAGTAAATACGCCATAACAGACCCGCAATCCGATACTGATAAGAATTTTTGTCACGAAAAAACAAGTTGATACTTCTTTATTTATAAATAAGTTATGCGATATATTAGAGATAGAAGAAAATATATTTTGGTTGAGTAACACAGTCAATTTGCTCAAACGTAATTTAAATATTAACCAAGATATTAACAAAATCATAAGACTAGTCAATGTTCTTTACAGATCACTTGCAATTAAGCAATTCTTTCTTCAGATTTTTCTCATCGGATACATTAAATAGTTCCTTGATAAGGGAAGATTTCTTTTACACACAATATACATATATTTTTCTGTTACATAAATCTTCCATCAATAGAACGATTGATATATTGAGCAAGATTACATGAATTTTGAACTATTTTTAAAAGAAAATATTCATGTTAATTATGGTCATCAAATTCATATGTAGCAGTTTTTCTTAACAGGATAGATCTAAAATTCATTCGTAGAAGAAATGAATGAACAAAGTTATGTGCTAATAAATGGTCAAAAGAAAATCTTATTCATTGGGAATGGATTAAGGATTTGAATGACATACGCAATATTTGATAGACAAGTCACAGAGAGCCAATCCCTAGCTTGTATTGATTCTTCTGATTTTATTTAACATGGATTGAATGTTTTCAATCATTTATGAAATAATTTATTTTATTTCAGATTTATATTAGAAAAAAAGAATTATCATTTTGATTAAAATCATCAAATGATGTTTCCTATTTCTCTCATAGTTTTATTGTTATTTTGGAGTCCATCAATTTTATGTAAAAAGGAAGAACAGATATGCTTCCAACATGTGGATAGCAGTGGAGCTTATCCATGTGAAAGTCGTCCGAGTAAAGAACCGCTCAGTTTACAGTATAACAAAGCTCAAAGTTCGTTTTGTTTTATTCTATTTGATTATCAACAATTTTCATTTGATTTTTCTTCTTCATATTTAGTTGGTAAACCTGCACCATCGTTCGAAGGTATTGCTGTTATCAATGGAGAATTTAAAGAAATTAGTTTGAATGATTTCAACAATAAATATCTCGTCCTTCTCTTCTATCCATTGGATTTGTAAGTTTAATTTAAAAAATGATATGAATTTATGGTTTTTCAAATTTTTCTTTTTTTGTAGTACATTTGTATGTCCAACTGAGATTATTGCTTTTTCTGATCGTATTCAAGAATTTAAAAAAATTAATACTGAAGGTACATTGGAGTGACTTTCTTTTCAATTGATACTATGACAATATTTTCTACTTTTTTAGTTGTGGCGATCTCTGTTGATTCGCAATTTACTCATTTAGGTATGACTAACTTTTTTTTAATCTAGCAAGAGATGCTCTAACGCTGATTATTTGCTTTTGAGTCGAGACTATGCACATCATGTTGGCCCTAGTGAACCATGAATAGCCTGAAAAGAGTTCGGGCTCTTAGTTTGTTGATGTTAAGATACTGCATTTTTATGGTATTTTTTGTTTAATACAGTGGTCGCTTCAAGAACACTCCGAAAATTTATGTTCGAATTTTAACTTGAAACTCTTCATAGAAACTAGACTCATCGAGAATAGTTTATGGTGCAATTTTTAGATATTTTCGTTGTTTCTATCGTCAGATGCAGCTATGAAAAAACCTTCTCTTTTACACTGCTCACATGACACCGACAGATTTGATGTTCCTATTACAGGAAAGAAGCTAATGAAAACACCCAAAAGTTTCACAATGAACTATTCGGATTAAGATTTGTCTTTGTGCAAAATTTGAAGTCGAAATTCGAAAACAAATTTTCTTTGTGTTTCTCAGGATGACTATGACTTTAACTTAAGAAAATTATAAAAATGCAATATTCCAGCAACAATAATCTACGGATTTGAACTCTTTTCTGGATATTCATAGTTTATTAGGATCTATTTGATGAATTTAGCTCGGACTTCAAATTGATTAGTTGTTCAGAGAACTTTTCTCTCGAGCTTTTTAAAATTAATTTCTATCTTTTTGTAATAGCATGGATAAATACACCTCGTGAACAGGGTGGTTTGGGCAAGATTCAAATTCCACTTTTGTCGGATCTAACACATCAAATTTCTAAAGATTATGGTGTATACTTACAAGATGTAGGTCATGCATTGAGGTATGAATAAAACAAAAAAAAACCATTTTTTTTGTCTAATTTATGTTTACTTGTACTTTTTTAGAGGATTATTTATAATTGATGGTCGTGGTATCCTCCGTCAGATTACAATGAATGATCTTCCTGTTGGTCGATCAACGGATGAAACAATTCGACTTCTTCAAGCTTTTCAATATACTGATAAACATGGAGAAGGTAAGTGTTAGCATGATCTATACAATAATCCGAAAAAGTCCTGCTACTAACCAAGTAAAAGGTACTTAAACATTAATACTTTAGTCTCATAGTTTGACTACAAATAGAACATGTTGATCAACCTTTATCTGAATGAGCTAGAAGGTCAAGACAGATTTTTTCTTCAGACGAGGATATTTCAACACAGAAAACAAATCTCATAACGTTAGGACAGCTCAATGCTGCTTTTATCATAAAAAAAATTTCATATCCAACCGTTTTAGTTTGCCTGATTGATCAAGTGTTTTTTCTGTAAGCTCTACATAAAAGTTGATGAGAATCGTTGAAACCTAACCGATATATCCGGCTCATTTTAATCATTTGTCTTGAAATTTTACTATCACAGTCATCGATGGAAAAGAGGTTCATACTGAGGCCTTCTGAAATAATAACGACTTCTTCACGCGTAATAGTTACAGCAGATTGAACTATCCTATTTGTGACATAATATAGATATGCAATTCTTTATGTCTAAGTAAGAAAATGGAGGTTAACGCATTAAATTAATGAAAAATTAGAAAAGTGTCAAGAAAGGCTTTTTTTTGGACACTAGGAAAGAAAACACTGTTTTTATCGTTTATCCGCTTCATTAAGACCTATCGAGTTCAGGTTGATACTTGTGTACAAAGTGTACCCAGCTCTATTTGTTGTCAAAATATCAGACAAAATAATTAAAGTTTATATACTTTTTATTCAATAGCGGAACTTCTTGCGACTAATGTAAATTTTGTAAATTATAAGAATCTATTTATTTTAGTATGCCCTGCTGGTTGGCATCCGGGTGCAGACACTATTATACCAAATCCTGAAGAAAAGCTGAAATATTTCAGTAAAACTTATGAAACAAAAAAGAATTAACTGTGGACATATGCGTCACTGAAACCTCTGAAAATATGAGAATTGGTTGAAAATTTAATCTATCATTCACGCGCGCAATTATTGTTAGTTCTTTTTTCTTATTTGTTCTTAAGGGTATTTTAATTTTCTTTAACATTGGCAATAAAAATAACTACGTAGGGTTCTATGGTTCTCGTTAATGGATTTTTTTTGTTTTACGATTCTAAAGACATGTGTAACATGAGCTTTGATAATTTTATTTGACTTAAGGAAAATCAATAATATTTATCGAATTTGTTAAGACCCCCTCAAAAATCGATCTCGGCCCAGGAACATCCAAATGGCCTGAAAATTGAAGGATATGTTGGGCCTAAAGTGAGGAAGCTATGATAAAATTTTCAGCCCGAAATTATGAGTTTTAAGCGAGATAGTGACCAAACAAGGGTGAAAAATAGGTGATTTGGCATCCCAAATTTCTCGGTCCTGACCCGTCCAATATATTTAAAGCTTTTTTTGTTTGAAAGAGCATGTCAAGATGCAGGGTATGGCGAGGTCCGATTTTTTAAATACCCACTTTTCAAGAGCAAAAAAGGGATCGAAAGTTTGATGACTGAAAAAGCCCTCGAAAAAGTACTGTCAATTTATAGAAATGAATATCTATATAATGAAAAGACGGCCTAATTGGAAAAACTGGCCTTGTCATGTCCTGGATCTTTACATGCTCTTTCAAACAAACAAACAAAAATTTTAATATATTGCATGAACTTTGAAAGAGAAATTTTGGATTCGCGTTTGAGAAAGTGAAAAATGAGAAAAAACAAAAAAAAGATTTTTTTCGTTTTTCAAAAACCCGCTGGTATTTTGAATAGGGGTTGCAAGAAATTTCGAAAATTTTCTAAAAAAATGAGGTATCGAAGAAAAATTTTTACAGTTTATGAAAGAGCAAAGGACAAGCTATCTCCCCATGTATTTATGTCCATTTTGACCGTTCTGACGAAAATTGACTTTTTTTTGAAAAAGGGGAGGCTTACAAGCATAAGAAATGGATGTTCAGTGAAGGATAAAAAGCATTCAAATAGGAATAAAACTAGTAGCGTAACCAGAGGGGGGCAAGGGGGGGGCTGAGCCCCCCCTACGAAAGGTTTTGCCCCCCTAGAAAAATTTCTATCCCCTTTTATTAAAGAAAATTGCGTTTGATTTCTGTAATAATAGAAATCAACATACAGCTTATTCATAACAGCAGGCATCATCAACAATAAGAAGTCCAGAACTCGAAGGAAAATCCCTTAGAAAATGAATTTCTAATGCACATTTGTCTTGCATTTTTAAGAAGTTTTCGCTTTGCGACTTAGGTCTGTTCCATTAGTTTTCATTTTGATCAGTCTTCTCCCGATTTCGAATTAGCATTTGAAATATGATTCGTTTATCTGTGTGACTTAGGCAATGGGAAGCTTTGTATACGCCTCGCGTTTATCTGCCACTTTTAACACAGCGATTGAAAGCGTAGAGGACTTTAGTGGCTGAACATATATGAGTGCTATAATTTCGTTCTTGTCACTCCAGAAGCGTGAGTTTTTATTTCATTGAACTATACAATAGTTTAGTCAAACCGTTTTTATTCCGTTCCAAAAAGGTGCCGCCTTCGGCGGCATGCTCTCCTTGAATAAATAATAAATCAATGCTTTTTTATACCGCTATTATCTCATCAGAAATTTTAGAGTCTAAGAAGAAACAAAATTTCTCACTGCGTGGTATTGTCCAAACAATAGTATAGAAAAGAACGGTGAGGAACAGTTTATATGGTATAAAACATTTTACTCTTCTTATATTTTGACGCCAGATATGTCTCTTGGAGGTAGGAATCACTAAACAGTAAGTAACGGGTAGGAGCAAAAGAAATTCTCGATATTTTCGATAAATTGTTTCGAAAAAGGGTGTTTGTAACAGGTAAATATGCGTTTTGTAGAACGTTCAATAGGATTTCGTATGTGCTATTTAATTTTTATACACGTCATACGAAACAAAAAAACTAGACAAAGAATTATGTTGTTTCGTTGTCTACAGTTGGGAAGGGGGGCTGAGCCCCCCCTACGGATTTTTCCTGGTTACGCCCCTAAATAAAACGATGATGAAATATTATTTATTGTAGATGAACATTTACCAATTTTCCTTTCGCATAATACATATCAAGAATTTTAAATGATAATTATAAAACTTCACTAATTGAAGGCTTACTTTCAATGATAAATATTGGTCAATCAGTTTTTTTTAATGAATGACTAATATTTTGTTATATTCTAAAACATCTATGAACAGTGTTTTATCCAAATTTGATCTTTCGGAAAGGAGAATACTAATTTTGGGGAGCACAGGCACAACGGATGGGCTGAAAGTATTGAGATAAAATCTTCCTTCATATTAATTTAATCAGCAGACCCTATAAGATATTGGTCTAAAATCGAAATTGTGTGCTCTTTCCGAATCTAGATTCGGCAGTTATAGGAACTCAGAATAAGCCTTTGAAAAGCGTAACAAAAAAATTTGAACACAAGACAGTCGAAACTAAGCAACCATTGATAGAAAATGCAATCGTATCGCATATGAAATTATTTTTATGATGTTTTTTGGCAAATTTGTGTTTTGGACTTAGAAATATCTATTTTGTTCAAGTCCCATTTCCTTTTGTTTGACCACATTGTGTTTTGAAAAATTTTTAGAGCAGTATCTAGAGAGGAAATATTCGCTTTTGCATAAGTTTAATAGCCAGTTTTCATGCAGCATGGCGAGCGAGACTGTGTTCTGAAAACTGCGATAAGAACCGAGGTTTTCGAAACAATCTTCCAAAAATAACTGAATGCATTTTATGAGTCTGAAAATTATAGAATCACGAAAATGTCATTAAGCCTCGTGTTAAAACTTTAATTGTTGATAGATGCTCTACGAAAAACTAATCATAAAAATATCATTTCGTAGAGAAATGTTTGCTATTTCTTTCGATGTGTTTTGAAATAAATTTTACTTCTGTCCTGTAAGTATATTTACTCTTTAAAAGCCGCCCAAACTTTATTTTGACATTCCTTCCACAGGTTCGCTCAGAACTCCAAAAACAAGAGTCTAATAAAAATTCTGAACTTATATTCAAAAAAGAGAAGAAAATTTCTATTTTAAATCAATATTTTATATTTTTTACTGACCATTTTAATCTGTCAAGGGATGAGGAAAAGCTTTGTCTCGAAATTTTCGATTCATTCGTTAGAGTATTATTGATGAAAACTTTCATGAGTAGTCAACTGCAAATAACATAAGGTTGTCAGAAGATTTCTTTTCGTCTGTAGAAATTTGAGGAGTTCATTGTGCTAATCATCTTAGTAAAAAAAAAAATATTCAAAAACATCTACTATTCTTGATAGTCACTGAGCGGTAGCGGACGTATACAAGTATTCTGATTCTATAATCATGATTTACTAAAATAAATTTGGATATAGTTTTACCAAAGTGATCAGTACAAAGAGCTCTTCAAAAATTTACAGATGACAAGATCTTCTGGCATACCTGTGGTTTTTGCGGTTGACTATTCATGAAATTATCCATGAAAAATACGATTCGCAAGCATTTAGTCATTGATAGAAAGATGGAATCGGTTCATGTTTGTTTTGAAACCGAACCTATCTTCAAAAGTGCGCCACCTTCACGCTGAATGAAATACTTTCTAAGAAATATTATTGATGTTAATAAACATCTTTTACTATGCATAACCAACATGCTTCCAGAAAAGTATAATCATATTTAGTCTTGATAGTCGTATGTTGACATTTCAATAGAATACCAGATAGATCCTCGTTTATTTAAAAACAGAAAAAGAAGACTGAATAAAAATTAGTCAAACCTTGCAAGGAATTTATTGATTTATTTCTATATTTATATGTATATGAAAAATGAGAAAATGATTTTTTTAAGCCACAGATTGTCGAAGAACAGGATTAGCATTGGGATTATTTCCATGTTCTGTTACGAATGGACTCAATTTATTGAAGCGTTGTGAAACCATTGTTTGATCTTGATTGGGAATTTTTTCTACAAGTACTCGATATCCTGGAGCTGTTTGAATACGAACAGTTTTTGATGGATCAGCACGAGGTGAAACAACAGAGCCGACTAAACAGAGAATAAAAACAAATTTACATCTTCTATATATAGAAGTGAATCAATATTTATTATTTTTTACATCGTTCTTGTAAAATACGTGTTACATTATGCGGTAGTGGCTGTTTCATTCTAAGCGATTGATAACGACGATTTTCAAGTGAATCATAAGATAAAATACGATTATCAACTTCTTTTGGAAGACGAGCAGACATACTTCCTTCGTATCGATAAAGTGGATCGTTATTGACTCGATAGGATTCGAGTGATGGTGTCGATAAAATCAAATCACCTCAAAATAGAAATAAGATTGATTATTAGGTTTTTTTTCTCTATGAGAATCAGCCAATCTTCAATTTCTTCGTATAATTTTATTCATGAAAAAACCTAAGAAAACGCATTATTTCATTGCAGCTCGTTTTATGAGACGTAATGAAAAGAAAATAAATAAAAAGTATGATTTTTATTACCACTTGCATTGATATGAAGACCAGTATATGGCTTGACTTGACTTGAATCAATATTTTTTGAATAGAGTATCGCTCTTATCGAATCTAACTCAGCCATTCGTTGATGATTGTGGCTGTTTCACTTCTATGTTAATAAATGTTTTTGTCTCTATGTGCACGCGTGTGCGTCGTGTTGTTGAAAAAAAAAAAGATCTGGCCACTTGCTATTGTGATGTGTCGATAAGATTTTGTTTCAATTCTTCCAATTGAAAACAGCATACGAGTGAAAGAAAAAGAAAAGAAAGGCAATTTGTGGCCGACTAATACAAAATCGACCAACATCTGTGTGCATGTATGTTTATTAGTTACCGAAGACTGCACAGCATCATTCGGAAAAAAAACGAAGAAATATAAGTTGTCATGTTTACTTGTTTTACACATGTAAATATTCATATGCTTAATACAATCTATTGCAAAATAATTCGATCAAATTTTTTATTACGTTTTGCTTCTTGGTTTCAATTATATAACAAATTTGCGAAATTAAAATTTTAAAGTTTCGAATGAGCAAAAAAGTTAGCGAAAAAATATTTAAGAAAAAACTCTTTAAATGAAATCTGTTGAGACAACTTGGAAAAAAAACAGAAATTCTCTCTGAATACAATTGAATATGAATCGAATTTGATATAACAGAGTAGAGATCAAAAAACAGCCCATAAGAAGATTTTATAGTTGAGTAAACATCGATTAGTTTTACTTGTGAAATAATAAGTGTGTATGCTTTGGAGATAGAATATTGTATTTTAATTAGCTATACTTAGCATCTATTCGAAACAACTATGTTTATATTCTTTTACTACTTCAACATACATCTCGTATTTTTAGTCTTTAACAATAGATCACTTGAATTCAATTGAAAAAAATATCAGAAAAAAACCACTTCAAATAGGAAGTGAAAGCGTCTAAGCCTACCACTACAACTATTGTAAACGACAAATATATCAAAATATACGAGCTGTAAATTATCTTGACTTTGTAATAAAGACAGTAATACAATCGTATATCGTCGTATCATATACAGCGAAATATCTAGATAGTTTATAATAATATCCGTGCCGTAAATTGATCGTAATGCTGACAGACACTGCACTGTAGGTTAATGTTTACAAACATACTTTCATGTACATAACCGTACCTCGCCCAGGTCAAAAAAAATACCAACTTTAGATCAGCCTGTACACATCTGTATTATGTTTCGTATTTCACCCTTATACGATTGTATTCTATGGCTCAGTATTGTGATTATATACGGCTTCTGTGTACGAAGAGTGTTGACAAGCGTCTCTTTTCGTATACGGCATGGAGCTGTACGATCGTAATACTGACTTGTGAAATTCTTACATTTATACCATTAGGCCTGTATTTGTATCCTGAAAAGCTTCATTCGATGTGCTACATGCAGTGTTGAACTATTTATATCGATCAACATGAATGTATAATGCTGATATAATCAAATCATGGTCTTCTATTTTATTATTTGAATGTTGTTTAAAATCATCATGCCTTTAAACTAGTCATTATTCGTCTATGACATCTATAAACTGTCATCATAAACATAGGTGGTTTCCCATCGTTGTTGATCAGTGTACGTTTATATAGCACTGTCAGTAATTGATCTAGGTTACTATCAATAGCTTAACACTATCGATTTCTATTTGTCACATTTCATAACAATCAAGAATGATGAGACCCACGAAAATTTGAATTACAAAAATAGTAATGTTTATTGGATTACTTCATATATACTACAAGTTGCAAGCCAAAAATAAATACCAATTGACAATACCATAGATAAACAGTCAGATTACGCATGGATCAATCTACAACAAAAAAAAACTTTTTACAATAATATTATCATATACTGATCAAAATCAATTCTTATCTTTGCAAATGATTTTTGAAAGAAAAAACTATTATTACATTCGAAAAACTTATTGGAAGTATGTTACTGGTTTAAGTTAACTGGTTACGCTAAACTCATAGAATAGAAAAGAACAGTTTTATTAAACTTCCAAAAGTGATTAAATTTTTTACCATTTTTCACAAGACCATAGAACTTTATTACATTACTTAGAATATTGTAAGATAATGTTAAGATGGAAAAAATTGGCATATATTAAAATATTTGTTAAACAACTAATTGAGGTTGAATGATTATTACATACAAAATTATTCACATAATGTATTAAGGATATTGTACGAGTCATACATCAATTCAGCTGCATAGATATCTTTCAAGTATTCAAGTGATTTGACCAGTGCACCAGTTGATTATTACTCAACGCTCAAAAGTAAAGCATACGGATTAGAGTAAAAGCACTTTTGGTTTTGATAACGGATGATGCTGAAACGAGAGATAAATCGTCTGTCTAAAGAGTCTTGAAAAAATAATGTTGATTATTTATTTGAAACTAGTAAAAGGACGTCACATCATCAAAAACTAGAAAGGGCATAGTTATTTTTAAACATGATGAAAACATCTGAAATATGATCTCATGATCAATCTATAATAAATACATTTCTTTGACGACAAACATCTTTATAATTCTATATTTGACTGTTTACAACGTTAATCTAAGTAAGTTTTGTTGAAAATTAAAGTATTTATACAAAAGTTTTTATAGTCAATAGACAGGTGTATATTCCAATAGTTGAACGTCAGATCTTTTTAGATAATATATATTTGTTCAAGAAAGTATTGACAAACAAGTTTCCTTTTGAAGACAAACTATTACACAAAGATCGACTTCGATTTCAACATTTGACAGTTTTTTCAAGCAGTATCATTATAATGGTGTCATATCACCGTATTTTTACTTTAACATTGCCCAGAAAATACAAAAAAAAGAAGGAATTTAGCTATCATATCGTGGCTATGATTTTTCGAATTGTATCTATGTTATATCGAATAATAATCAGCTATCGAATTATTCTGTATTAGAATTCGATTCAGTTGGATCGACATATGCACAATTCGATGACAACGGCACCTTTTTCCTCAGTATCTTATTGTGTATCTAGCATTTCTATTTAGTAATTATAGTCTGAGATAGTAAGTTTCACAAGCTGTACAATAATATGGATTAATTAGTAGATATTTTTATAATGATTTGACGTAAAAGTTTTCTTACAGGTACCTCCACCTTCTTTTCAAGGTTTCTGAAGAAGAGCTCATCAAAAATATTTGAAATTTCCAAGACGGATACATCTTGGCGAGTAAAGCAAACGTTCTTATAGATTCCAGACAATCACACAACATTGAAGAGATTACTTTATCAGGCTTCGCAGCGACCTATGCCACGAAATCAGGAAAACAGGCAAGACAACTTTGAAGGAAAAAGCAGGAATTTTAGTAAAAATCAGGACATTTTTAAAGCTGCTCTGACATAAATTTGTAGAACTAAATCGACATAAAAATGAACGATATGATGATAATTAATTGAAATTACAACGAATGTCGTTTCGATAAATGACAAAAGTAGTCGACGAATAATAAATTTTACAAGAAGGTGATTTTTCCCTCATACATGCACTACTGATTCTTTTTTTCTTCTTTTCGTTCTTTCTCTTTCTCTTACTTTTTTTAGTCTATTGTGGACTTCTCCCCATATATAAGAATAACATAGCGTTATAAACATTTATTTCTGAAAAATATGTCCCTTCACTTAAACTTTTAAAATACCGAAAAAAACAGAATTTTGTTCAAAATGGTTGCTTAGATTGGATAATATCAATAGAGTTTGTTCTTGGTGGCTTTCAAAAGACAAAAAAGCTAATACATTGCGATGTAATGTGTGTAATACAGATGATTTTAGTTGTGCTAGTGGTGACTGGACTGATATAAAAAGACACCTCACTCGTCCGGAACATATACGATGGATGAAGGATGTAATGAGTGCGGCAGAATAAATGACTGATTAGTATTTTATTGATATTTCGATAAATTTTAATTTTTCAGGCCTTATTATTTTTTTTCCAAAAGATTCACCGTAGAATTCTGCACAAGGTAGTATGACTTAATTAACTAATAGATTTTTCTTTCTTTCTAGAGCCCAACTATTTCCAATAGCGAGATTTGAATAACTTCCTAAATCTGGATATTTTTCAAAGAAAGTTTTTCATTTTTTAATCATTGCCACTTGCTTTTTGGCATATTTACGACTCATTTTAGTGATAAATCCATTCAAGGTAATAACTGGTAGCACACTACTTGCATTGATAATCTTCACACATGTCATAAACCAAGTCACAAAGGCTGAAGAATGAAAACACTTTCTTTGAAAAACATCAGATTTAGAAAGCTGTTCAAATCTCGCTATTGAAAACAGTTGGGCTCTAGAAAGAAAGAAAAATCTATTAGTTAATTAAGTCATACTATCTTGTGCAGAATTCTATAGCGAATCTTTTGGGGAAAGTAATAAGGCCTGAAAAATTAAAATTTATCGAAATATCAATAAAATACTAATCGGCCATTTATTCTACCGCACCCGTTATTTGGTTCAGTTTCACTTGTTACGTCTGGTCATTCATCATCATTTACATCTAATAATACGAATGAGGGTGTGGGTGTGTGCATGATGAGAACACTCACACCCTTTTTTCTATTTTTGAAAATATTGTATAAGTATTATTATATAAATTTGAGATACAGATTTAGTAAAGCAAAAGAATGGGTAATTGTTGTGTCAAATTCAGTACTATAGAAATAAATTGTAAGAAAATCAGGATAAAATCAGGATTTTTAGTCAAAAACAGGAAAAGCAGGCGACTTTTAAAAAATCAGGAAAACATCAGGAAAGTAGTATCACTGCGAAGCCTGCTTTATCGTTTTCTTCATACTTGATTCACCTCACATATTGCATTAACACATACAAATGAGATAATTTTGTCAAACTATTCACCGATATTTTCTTTTTGATAAAAATCAGTTTACTATTACAATCACAATGTGAAGACATAATATAAATTAATCGAACAATACTTCTATCGTAGTCAAATTATTCTTATTGTTAATCTTTATCGGGTAGATTGTAATGTTTGGTTGCATTCTTTTTCTCTTATGAGCATTTAATTCTAAGGTATCATTGCATAGCTGAGATAAAACAATTTTAATAGATCATGTTAGTCGACATCTTACACTTGTTTTGTCACCATTTACAAACAAACTAGTATGATTTTATTGTACCTTTTCCTTACATCCTATTTTCTAAATTCAATATTTAAATAAAAAATCCTTGAACTTTTCGACTCAAGAATTTCTAAAAATGTCATTATCTTACTAAACAACAAATAAAAAGAAGAAGAAAATTTATGCTATTCTCATTTTCGTTTGTTCTTATTTGTTAAACGACGAACCTTAAATACAGATTCTCTGTACACGTGCAAATTGAGATATGAAGGACAATCAATCAAAATGAAGAACTAAGGATTAGTAATAGTAAATTGCATTTTGACTACATAGTAAAACAAAGAAAAGAAGAAGAAAAACAGATCATACATTGATTGTTTCTACTTTACATGATGATGACTACACAACCAAAACAAGTTCTATCATTTAAATGGGTATCAAGAATAATTGGTTTTATTTGGATGTTTCTTACAGCTTGTTTTGCCATACTTAATATATTTATATTTGTACAACCACAATGGATTGGTGATACATTATCAAGTCCACGTGCTGGTCATTTTGGTTTATATTCATATTGTATAAGTACAATAAGTGATTATGAATTTGATTGTCAAGGAACATGGACAAACTTCCGAACAATTCTTAATGTACCATTTGCTGTTGCAACATTTTTTGTTGGTTTCTCTGCTTTACTTATTCTCATATGTCTTCTATTGTTTATATTATTTTTATTTTTGCGTCCACGATTTGTTTATTTTATTGGTGCATTTATACAAATTATATGTTCAATTTGTTTACTTATTGCACTTATTGTTTATCCATTCGGTTTTGATAATGATACAATTCGAACAATATGTGGTTATAATGCTAATAATTTTCAACTTGATACTTGTCAGATTCGATGGGCATATATATTAACAATAATTGCATTATTTAATGTATCGATACTTGCTATATTAGGATTTGTTCTTGGTATAAAACAACCAAAAATTGAAACTATAAGAGAAGTTTTCAATCCAAACCATGTTGTATCAAAATATGGTGAACTTCATGAAGCAATTGATGATCGAACATTATCTGATCAAACAATGTCAACAACTACTATACAACGACATTAATCATCTTATTTAGTTTTTGTTTTTTAATCAGACAGATAAACTTATAATATTTTTTTTTGCAAGGTTCAAATACCTTGGCTAAAAATTTTTAAATATGAGTTTAACAAAGCTTTGATTTTATAAATAAGAAATCAATTTTCTAAATGAATTCAGAAAAGCAATATCATTAGAATTAATAAGTATCTTTTGTTTCCAATGAAATATACATCTAAGGGAGTGATAATTGAGTCTAATAAATCATTATAAGAAAAATTGGATGAACGTTCGTTCCATCGTTGGTTTAAATCAAATATACTTATATAATATCTGACTTATTCATCTTGGCGTCAAAAAACTCATCAGATAATATCAATAAGTTTTAAATCATCAAGCCTACGATAAAACTTAAACGTAGACCATTCTGCTAACGAATGATTCTTTTCATTAACAACTAACCTTGTTTGATTTTCCGATTAGATAAAATTGAGATTTAAAATTCTATTTCTACCCTCATTAAATAGCCTAGGAAGATGAGTGGCATACATATACATATGCTATCGGTTGACAATAACAACCATAGACAAATAAATTGTCTAACATTTCTTTTTCTATTCTTCATCTTTCGTCAGTCATTATATATTTTTGTCACGTATGCATATATGCATCTATTTGATAAATTACGAGCAAGTTTTCGACGAAAATCAAATGTAAGTGTAATCTATTTACTTTATTTTTTTGTTATTTAATTTTGAAATAATTAGAAAACTGAATTAACATTATCGCAACAAATTGAAAATTTACTTAATCAATCCAATGTATCATCACAAGGTGATCAACGTTTACTTTTACTTCGTTTAGTTTATGAACATAGATCCAGACAATTTAATGCATTAAATGTACCTTCAAATGATTCGAAACGTCTTGAATTTGAAAGATCAATGCTTAAAAGTCTTCTTGCAATAACAACAACATCATCATCAACAACAACAACAACATTGAACGATAAATCACAATCAAATTTTCAACGATCATCACGTCTATATAAATCTATGCCAATGGCGACCTCTGTATATATGTCAAAAAGAAGAAATTGACAGAAATAATATAGATATTTTTTTCTTTGGCGATAAGCATCTGTTATATAAATCGTTGTAATTACTCGCGGTTCATGTATTTATTATTATATTTCTTTTTTGTTATTTTCTAATATATATTATTATACATCGCCAAATATTGATTGGCTCTTTGAAATTCATAAATCATAGCTACCATAACGAAAAGTAAAGACAAGACGTTTCGATGAACGAATAGTTCACGTCGAATGTCTATATGAATATTCATATTTTAGATGAGAACGATGGATATGGTGAGAGAGATGAAATGATTATTGTTTTTTAAATGTAGGTTTGATTTTAAAATAGGATTTACCAATAATTATTGTCGAATTTGGTCAACAACGACAACGTATTAAATTGAATAAAATTTATTTTACTATAAATGAATTATTAGAATTATTTTCTCAAACATTTCAAAATTTAATTGATTTAAAAAAATATGAAATTTTTTTATTTAATAAACAACTTGATTCGATGACACATATTGATTTTTCTCAATTGAATAATTATCAACGTTTTAAAATCAAATTAAAGAATAATCGAACAATAGAACAATTTGATTCATTCAATCATAATGATTTATTTTCTTCATCCATGAGTAGTGACAGAAATGAGATTGTAATAGAAATATTTAGAAAAAAATATATTTATCAATATTCATTTTTCTAGACTTCAATCAAACAACGACTGAATACAGTATCAATGGAAATAACAGAAATTGCTCGTTCGTAACTGATTTTTATATGATTAATTGTCACTATGTGATTTTCTTTATAGTTCTAATCAATTCTATTCATAAAAATTATAGAAACCTTATGAAAGTAAGTCTTAACATATCGGAATTTTTGTGATTAAAACTAGAGGATGCATCGAAAGCAAAGGAAAAAAGCGAGACTTTCAATTTTTGAAGTACAAGTGACGTATGTACTCTTAAAGTCTCGTTTTTCTCCTTTGATTGAGAGTCTCTAGATTATTTTTTTTTGTGTATTTAAATGAATTGATAGTGTATTATAATCAAACTGATTTACTTCTTGAGAATTTTTCTATGATTTTTCATGATCGAATTATAACTAAATCTTGACAAGACTGAAGAAAAAAAATTTTGAAGACATGTATACATGAAATAAATTTCGTAATAACTCGATTTTACAAAATGACTCAGGGCCATGTTCTACTAGAAAGGTAAATATTAGAAAAATAGCTATTTTTTTGTGCAATAGACTTTATAAAAGTCGTGATTGTACTTCAACAGTTTCCAAAAGATTTACCACTTTGTAGAGAACTTTTTTTTTTGTATCTGCTAATATATTTGAATCATTTGATAATTCACTTATACTTAAATAATCCAAAGTCATAGAGAAATTCTAAGCATATATTTTCGAAGAACATGAAAAGCTGCTTCCAATACACAATTTCAGAGTTCTTCTAACTGTATTTGAATTCACAAAAAATAGTCAAATATTTTCTCTAGAAACTTTTGGCTTATCCATTATCTATTTAAAAAGTTTGCTTTTCATTGATTCTAGACACTCATTGACGAAGACAATCAAGCAATTCATTCGCAGAAATCAGTGAATGAAATATCGAATAGTTCATTGATTGGAAATCTTATACATCAATCTAATCAAGATCTAACTGTTCCACCTGGTTTTAAGCCTTTATCAATAACTAATCGTATATCTTCCCAAGATTCTCAAAGTACTGATGAAGGCATCGGTCGTGATACTGCAAGTCTATCAATATTTGAATCAACACATAGTGATTATGAATTAGGAAGTATATATTTTGAATGTCGTGAAGATGCGACAATTATAAATGAACCAAATCCCAAAGCAATCACTGACAATAGTAAACTGGAATGGCGTAATCAATTATGTCGTCCACGTCCACGTTCTCATTGGAACAGTAATAAAGTCAAATATCAAACAAATTATAATAAAGAGCAATTTGGTGATAAACCTCATTTGAAAAAACCAATTAATCCAAATAAAGCACCATTACCACCTGAAAAGAAAAAGAACAGTATGTTTATAAATTTATTATTTAGAATATACATACATAGATTAACTTATTTTAGTTCCATGCAAATATGCTGCTGGTGGCAATTGCAAGTAAGTTTATTGATAGAAAACGAAATGATTAGTTTTTATTGAGACTTTGTTTTTTTTCTTTCTATTATTATTTTAGACGAGGTAAAACATTGAAAATGACATTACTCGTTATGTTTGAAATTTATTTAGGAAGTCAATGTCGATTTATTCATGTTGTCTAACGGCCTTTTTATTATTTATTTCTTCAATTGTATTGCCGTATTTTGTCTATTATTAATTGTATATCCATCAGTTGTGCTTGTTTACTTCCATTTGGCATATACCTTTTGTTTTTTTTTATTCTTTCTTCTTTTTTTTACAATGTTTATTGCGCGTACAGCTATGCTTTCTACGTTTGGAGTATGGCTTGTACTGTTCTTATTCACTAGTGTATAACATTATTATTAGCAATGGCTTTTTCTCTACTTTTAATCGAACCATCTATGTTGATAAAAGCGAAAAACGGAATTGTCTTCTTTTTAAGCGCGAATAAAAAAGAGCTTTCTTTACTATTGTTATATGTTTATTTTAATTTAACATAGTATAGAAAAATGAACTTGTTTAACTGACTATTGAATTCGCAGTATGATAAATTTATCTTGTAGAAGATTTTTAAAATACTCCTTAAAACGTTGGATTGTTTTTTAATTAGATATTATTTAAAATATTAGGCTCCTTTTTATGTCAGAAAGTTGTCAAAATATTACTTCCTTTGAACAGTTGCTAGTCATATATTGAATCAACATGTGCAATCATTCTAATTAGGAAACCTTTCTAACTTGAAAAATTTCTCTTGAATTTGAACTTTATGAATCAAGTAGATCCGAAAAGTCTTTGAAAACTTCGTTTATTTAAATAATCTGAACTCAAAAGCGATTTTCAAATAAAAAATATTTTCTCGTTAGAATTTTCACTCATCATAGATAAAATTATTTCAATAAACTTTTCCTGATAGATAATATAAATATTTGATAAAAATCTTCTAAAAATGTTTTGCATTCCTTTTCATTTATTATATTTCTAAACATTGATTGATAAACTAATTTTAACAGAACGTCTATATTCGAAAAAAGTCGTTCCTAATAGACTCAGTATAGAATATCTATAGATATTGATAAAGTTATATCATCATGTCAACATCAATAATAAAAAAAAAAAAACTTTTTTAAAGTCTCGTCATCTAATAAACATTGACTAGTATTTCAAATATAGCGATGTGTATGATAGTTTTTGTATATTAAATCCTTCAATGAATCTCTATAATAAAGCTCGTGTTCTTTTTCATTGCTATTAATTATATGATTTGATTAGTATGACATAAATATAAATTTTTCTTGTCATATTATTTCTTTATTTAGATTCTTGTAATTCGAAATAACTTTCGTTCTTAAATAAGGTTATTGGACATACTTGAGTAAAGTTAATAAGTTTCCTTAATCTATTAGAAGTCAACAAAATAAAAATAACTAAACATGAGTGAGAGCATCTTACGCATATCTTATGATAAAAGAGGATATCGCTCATCAAAAATTTCAAAAATACGTAAGTGATACAAACTTTATGTATTGATATGTCGGGTCAACAAATAGAATATTTTCATTGATAAGACTTCAAATATCTCTTATTCAAAACCTTTTGTTATTTCAGATCAAAATTATGGTACATGTTGTTTTTTTTTACTGTTTTCTCGTTTATTATGATTATTATTTCTTCATTCAGAACGAAGCAAAACAGATCATTGTCGAATTTGGCGCTCGACGTCAAAGATTTATATTAACTGATCTTATAATATCAACTTCAAAACTTCGGCATTTAATTGGTAATCATTTTGGTATTAAACTTGATAATAATTCTATATATACATTACAAATGTATAATAAAACATTAAATGAATATTATTCGCTTAATGATGATAAGCAAACATTTGATTTAATTAAAGATATCGATCAATTACATCGGTTTCGAATTATTAATAAATCTCTTCAATCACAGGTAGAATGAGATATATAGTTTGTCATCAAAATTAAAATCATATAAATCTATGCATAGAAACATTACCTCTTGAATAATCTTCAATCGACAATTGGAAAACTTCATAGTGCGACAAGAGATATAGATAAACTTCACAGTTTGTTATGTTTAAAGTAAAGAAAAATTATTTATTCCTTATATCTTTCTATTTAGATCTGATTGGTACACTCAATGATAGATGTGATACTCTCAATCAAGTATGAAAACGAGTTAGTTGTCTGAAATGTTTAGCTTTCTACTTATACTCAAATAAAAATACCAATACCTAAGTTATTGTATTCCATTGAGATGTTAAAACATTTAGAAATCATCTCTAGATGAATCTAATTGAATTATATTACATGTTTGTTACAGGAAGTCTTCTTATTTATTTAGTTAATGGATAGTCAACATTTGAACTCATCTTCGAATCAATCTTCTTCTGTTTCATCTTATCTGTTACATCCAGTATGTACTAATATCCAATTGAAAATATAATATGTTCTACTATTTTTTAAATAACATTTGAAAATGACAACATTACAGAGACCTGTGGTTTTCACCGTTCAAGAGAGAAAACTTAAGAGTCATCAAAGTATATCGAAATTCGATTGATTAGCATTTGATCCATTAGGTCAGTTCTTTGTGAAAATCTTTTAAAATGATTTTCTAACATTATTTCTCGTTCGATCTACACAAGGTCGATATCTCTGACTTATTCCGTTGGATAGTTATAAGACTTGTCCTAAAATCTCCGATTTCAGTCTATTGAGCTGGGATCACTTGAAAAAGCAGCTAGGCAAGAATAATTCCTCATGCTCAGTCGAATGGTGATATTTGCTTTTATGTCAAAGATGATCTGATACTGTTATTTTAGTATTTTCAAAATTTCACAATCTGCCTCTATGTATTACGTAAGCTATGAATCTGACAACTACTAAAACAACAGTGTCGGATCGGTTCAGTCTTAAGACCAAATATCACCATTCGATTCTGTACGGTAAATCAACTCTATCTAGCTGCTTTTTCAGGTGTTAGTGCAGATCGAAAGAGAACTACCGTTCTTCGAAAAATTCCGTCAGAAATTCAATTGATTCTTCAATGATTGACCAAGGCAATGTCGATATACTTCGATGGTCGCAGATCTTCTGTCTTAAACGGTAACAACTGCAGTTCTCTATGATGTTCATATCAAAGCTATTTAAACAATAATTCAGCATATTACATTTTGATATGGATAATAATTATTAGAATTCTATTCTATGTTTTATTTTGCATTAGTCAACGATTGACGAAGACATTCATGTTACCGAAGATACCGTTCATAATGATTGGGATGACGAAAATTTTGAAAGTGTTTCATGTTATGATACTGCCTCAATTTATACTAAACCTTCAGCACTTTCTATGCCAACAATTATGAATCTAAATAAACAACAATTGTTCATGACAGATAATAATATTCAAACACGTATTATTCCATGTAAATATGCTGTTCGAGGGACTTGCCATCTTGGTGATAAATGTTCATATTTACATGATGGTAAATGACAATGTTTACTTTTTACTTTTTTTTCCTCTATGATTTAAATCTTCTTTATTTTAGAAGCATGTATTCGATCAGCTCGTGAATGGGAACGACGCTTGTAAGAACTTCTTCTAATTTTAATTTTCTAACTGTATTTAATATGATTTCAATGTATTCACATTCAATAAACATTTTTGTTATTAAGCTCTATTGCATGCATTTTTGTATTTGTCATCATCATGAATCATATATCTCTTTTCTATTATCCAGGTCAGAAGGCTCATATACACAACGGACATGAAATTTAAAATGTGAGCGTCTGCATTTTTCTCTTAAACGAAAGAGAATGAAAGAATAAAGTTAAGAGAACAGATGTGTAAAGAATGCCAAAATATCCATGTTTTATATCCAGTTGTATCGGATGCTGAATTTTCTTTCCTTTAATTTATTATCATATAATCGAACTTTTCTTTTCTTTTTTATAAACACTCTTTTTCATCACAGATAACATCAGTCCATCAATAAAAATGCTGCCAACAATTACAACAATTGAATACAATGGAGTATGTAAAAGAAAAAACAAACAAATTATATCTTATAAATTCTTTATTTTTCTTCTTCATTTAATAATAAAAAGCAAAATAAAGAAAATTTAAAATTCGTCTCAAAAAAACCAATTGATGATGATGATGATGCCGAAAGTTCACATAGTGATTGTTTGATTATTGAATCAAAGATATCAACACCACAATACAATGATGTTAGTCATACAAAAATTATCTAAAATAAAATTTTTCTTCTTCTTTTTTTCTAGTCCAATTTTCATTTTACATCAACGAATATATTGCCACGTAGTTTGTCAAAACAAACAAATCTTTTACTTATTTATGAAAATCGAACAATGAATGTTCATCTTGTTGCTCCTGTTGTTGATATTGAAAAACAAGAACGTATCACGGTAAAATTATATTTAAGAGAGGAATTATAATACACTGGATAAAAACTTTTTTTTTATGCATTCAATACATCGAGATCTGAAATCGCTAAACTTAAAATTTTACCGTTCAATATCCGTTCTTTCAATAGTTAGTCAATATCCACTTTTACTACTATCATATGTTCATGAGAAAAAAAATACTCCGTAAATGTTGTGTTTGTTTTCATTTCAAGAAACTCTTCAAGGTTTTTTAATAAATGATACTAAAAGATACAGAATAAAAACCGAATAAAATGGAATATTTCAATATAATATAGTATTGATCAAGTGAAATTTTACAGAACCAATGTGAAGGAAAAATGACTATGAAATATTCATTTGTTAATAGTCTATCGCCTATCATGATTTAGAATCGATAGCTCCAAGCTGTATTCTATATATGTGATGGAACTTTTTCTGCTTCACAAAATGATTAAAATAAATTTGAGAATAAATTGTACCTTTGGGGAGAAATTCGGTTCATATTTCTGTATTACATAATGATTTTCAATAGAAAGAAACACACTATTGGCAATATCCATTGTCATGATGCTATTAAACTCGTCATTCGGAATCAATGTCAAAAAGTTACATGGAGTCCTGAGTTTTAGAGAAATTTCTTCCTATGAAAAATTTACTTATAGTTCTCTGCAATTGGATTTGGACAAATTTTTGCTCCATGGTCAATTTTTCCCAGGAAAAAGACTTTTCTTAATTGCATTTGACTCAATATAGTTTTTGACGTTGAGTTCGAATGTCATGTTTAATTGTGTCATGGCAATGGAAACTGCTAACAGTGGTTTTTTCCTATTGAAAATCATTATGTAATCCGAAAATATGAATCCCATTTCGTCCCAAAGGTACTATTAATGTTTGAATTGTTTTTATCATTTTGTACAGAAGAAAACGTTGCATCACATACATAAAATTCAGCTTGAAGCTCTTTGATTCTGAATTCTGTTAGGCGGCAGATTGTTATCGGATGAATATTTTAGAATTATTTTTCCTGCACATTGGTCTTGTGAAACTTCAGTCAGGCAACACTGTAACATATTGAAATAGCCAAGTTGGTTCAATTTTTAATTCTCTACTTTTTAGTAGAACTTATTAACAAACTTGAAGGATTCGTTGAGACGAAAACATGTACACTTTTTATCGGGTATTTTTTTCTTACAAGTATATGATAGTAGTACAAGTCGTTAAGGCAATGAGAATTTTTTTCTATTGAATACCATCGTATATTTGATGATCTCTTGATTCCTCGCCTAATGTTATTTTTTTAGTTGAAATTTTTTTCTTTGATTAGATTTCACATTTGAATTATCTTTATTCAATACCCAAACGACATTTATATTTATCAGTACCTTGTAATATTCAATGTACATCAATTCCACGACAAAGTCGAATTATGTATATATCATCATCAGCAGCCGCAACGCAAAAAATTTCGTTAGGTTTTATATGTGAAGTTCCTTCATTACATAATCGTTTACGTCATTTAATTTTATTTGATGATGGTACGGCTAAATATACAGGGGACGATGATCTTATATATTTATGTCTTTGTCAAGATTTTGAACGAAATTCTCGTTTAGTTGAATCGAAATTAATTCGACAAAATTTTGAAAAATTACTTTCAAATAAATATTTACACAAACAAAAATTTCACATTCATAACTATGTTAGAGTAAAAAAATTTGATGATAAATATCATAATGCACGAATAATTGATGTTGATTGTTCACTAATAAAATTAAAATTTTATGAAAGACAAGCACAAACAGAAATATGGATGCATCAATATTCATTATTAATTAATGATACAATTATAGCACCAATAGATATAGCAAGTCCTATTATTTTACAAAATAAACGAAAATATGATGAAATATCAACAAGTAAGTTAAGAATAATTTTTCTATGAAAAGAATTTTTCTATTAATTAAAAATCAATGTAAAGTTCAATATGTTAAATCGGAGTAATATGAGTATATCAAGATTTTTAATTAGAAAAATAGATTGAGATATGCTTTCAAATACTATCTTTCAAAGAAAAAAAAGTGGAATTCGAGATTGTGATATTCACAAACATTGCAATTGCAATGAAATGAAACTTTTAAGATATAATGTATTCTTTGATGTTTCTTGTTCAATATCTATCACTGATTCCAAAAAAAGACCTCTGAGTATTTTTTTTGATAGGAACGAGATAGAGAGTTGTGGTTTTCATCATCAAAAAGCAAGGATCTAGAATACATAAATTCGTCCTGAAATTTGATTGGCTAGCTTTGGATCAATCAAATTGATTCTTGGTGGACATTTTAAAAACAATATTTTGAATGGATTATTCAATTGACCTTGATTGTTATTATGACGGTGTATGTGGAAAAAAAATACTTCTCTTTCGATCAACCCAAGGCCAACATTGGTAGCTTGTTTCATTCAAGAGCTGTAAGAGTTTACTTGAGACCTCCAACTTCAGCCAACCAACCTAGGATCATTTGGAAAAGCATTTAGGTAGATCATCATTCATCATGCTGAGCCGCTTGGCGATATTCTTTGTTGAATTCAAAATGATCTGACATTGTTGTCTCAGTATTATTGACATGTAAACGTATTATGCTACATAACGACAGACTCAAAAGCTTTGGAAATACTGAAACAACAGTATTAGAGCATTTCAAATCAAAAAACAAATATTGCTTTGTGACTCAGCATGATGAATTATCCTCTATCTCAATGCTTTTCCAACTGATCCCAGATCGATTGGCTGAAATTGAAGGACCTCAAGGAAACGCTTGTAACTCTGGAATCGAGCACGCTACCAATCTCAGCCTTGTGGAGATCGAAAGAGAACAAGTTTTCCTATATTTTGATTAAATTAACAATGAAAGTGAATTTGAAAACTGGGTCCAAAACATTGTTTTTAAAGTGTCCACCAAAAATTTATTTGATTGATTCACTGCTAACTAATAAAATTTCTGCAGATATTGATACATCTAAGCTTTCGTTTTGTAATGGTGAAAACCACACGTCTACATCTTGTTCATATTAAAAGTCATTGAAAAGATACCCACGGCTTGTCTTTTTTGAAACAGATAATAATTTGTATAGCTTTTTAAGCTGCTGTCTCAGAAAAAAAAAATACTATGTACATCTCGACATTCATTTTACACTCTCAGCCAAATGTTTCTCTTTTCCTAGATAGGCCTACTTCATTGCTCAATTGAATTTTGCCAAATAAAATTTGTATCTGCTTAATAAATAATTTGAGTTTTCAATAATTATATTTACGATTGACATACTAAATAATGGGTGATCCATAATAAATGGCCGCACTTTGCATTGCATATTTTAATTTCAAAATACGTATTATTAAAAAAACACAATATACCATGAGATGCAGTGTGAAAAGCTCTACAATTTACATAAGATCGCTTATTTTATAGTTGCATTTTTTATTTTCAAAATGTGCAAAATTTTGAGCGACCAAATTTCGACCATGCGAAAATTGGTCACACAGAATTTTTCTTTTTTTGAAAGCAATTACACTAAGCTTTTCTGTGTAAATTGTAGAGCGTTCCACGCTGCATCTTGTGGTATACTTCGTTTTTTTTTATGAAGACATATTGGATGATAAAAAGATGAAAGGAATTCTCGTTCGTGTCGAAAAAAATGATTTTTTCGCAATGGTGAAAATTGGTCGCAGAGAATTTTGCTTTTTTTTGAAAACAAAATGTGCAAAATTAAAATAAGCTTTATTTTGTAGATTTTAGAGCTTTTTAAGCTGCATCTTGTGGTATAGTTTATTTTTTCTTAAGAAGGTATATTATGTGATAAAAGGATCAAATAAGAGAAAAAAAATTTCGTATTCAAAAAAAAAGAGATTTTTTTCGCAGCGACGAAAGTTGGTCGCAGAGAATTTTGCTTTTTTTGGAAATAAAAAGTACACAATTAAAATAAGCTTTACTTTCTAGATTGTAGAGCTTTTCACGCTGCATCTTGTGGTATATTTTGTTTTTTTTCAAAATAAAGCATATTAAGTCATAAAAAGATGAAATAGGAAAAAAGAAATTTCTCGTTCGTGTAGAAAAGAATGATGTTTTCGCAAAGACAAAAAAAGACCTTATAGAATTTTGCTTTTTTTGAAAACAAAAAGTGCATCATTAAAAAAAGCTTTACATTGTTAATTGTAGAGCTTTTCACGCTGCATCTCGTGGTATACTTTGTTTTTTTAATAATACATATTTTGAAATTAAAATATGCAATGCAAAGTGCGGCCATTTATTATGGATCACCCATTATTTGCTTATCGATAATATACATATCTTTGGTCTAAATGAGACAATCAAATAAATATACAAACGAGTTAGGAAAAATGCAAAGCAGAGTACTATAAACAACACTTCTGAGCAGTGTATTATCAAACATGAGAGCCAAAAAAATGGCGCTTCTCTCAAGATTGGATTCATTCTTCCGAAGTTTTACAGTGCTCCTGTGGAAGAGAAAATTTAGATAAAATACTAATTATTGGGAATGTGTATCTTGTTATATTAGCATCTGAAGTTTATGCTAAATATACAAACAATATAAATTTTGTACCCATACAGTAGATTGTTAAAAATTGTTGTAAATCATTTTCAATAGTAAAGAATACATTTTTAGATGAAAAATGGAATGAAAAGCAACATAGTAAAGCAAGAAAAACTTTTATAAAACAATGAATATGTGATTCTGTCTTTTGTTTACACATACTTCTTAACAAAGTATGGACTTTTTTGTTTAGATAAAAAGAATCATTTTATTCAATGATTAAATAAAATACTTAGAAATATGAATATAAATTAGAGCCTATTATTATTTAGGATATATCAAAAGTAATGATGTTAGTATTGTTATACCGTATGGATAGCTCAAAGGAAAGTTTTCTTTACATAATACTGATAACAGAACCAAAGGTGTTTATATCTTTCATGTTTATTATTCTTTAATTATCTTTCAGATCTGTTTGCACTTGTTGTTCGTCAAGTGTAATCTACAGATCATCATTAATGATAAGTTTTCAGATATTGTCGCAATTACAAGTTTGTTAAGTCATACTTTGTCTTTGATTTCTTCTCAATCTTCATGAAAGCATTTAAATTATCTTGCTACTCTCCTGAGAGTTGAATAAAGAGTTTAATTTGCGCTTTAATAGAAAGAGAAAAATTTTGCTTACCTATTGAGAACAAAGGTGAAGAGCTTCCATCAAAAGTCCTTTTTCTCAACAATTGAATAATGACGGAATATCGAAGAAATACGGCATTTTTGACGTTTCGTCGCTGCTTTTCATTCCGAACATCCAATGTCGTAGTCCGTCCCGAGCATCCGTTTTCTTCAAAAAATCATCACTTTTATGATAACAATATCGGATGTTCGGAATTAGAAAAATACGGATATTCGGAACGATCATCGAAAAATAAACGGATGTTCGTGAAAATATTTAACAGGTGTTCGGAACGGCAACGACACGCACATTTCTGTGTGACGAACTGGATAATTTTAACGGATGTTCGTGAAAGAAACTACCGGATGTTTGTAATAAAAATACAGGGATGTTTGTAAAACTTTACACGGGAGTTCGGAATGGAGATCTGCTTCTCTTATTAGTGCAGCACTTTAGTTTCAGTTAACCAATGTTTGGAACGCTCTTCCTTTCACAGCACAGTACACAGTATGTTAGACACACAGCTGCAATGTGAAAATGTGTACTGAATTAGAAACTTCTATTCACTTTTATTCGAGGATCGTTCAGCAAGAAACTTTTCACTATCAAAACTCCCTGGCCTGTCTACTTGCTTCATCTTTTCATTATAAGAAATAAATGAGTTTTATTGAACGAAGAACAATATTCACAGATAGAAAGTCGAACTCTTAAAAAATACAATGGCACCGAGATAGAGAGACATTTCAATAATAAATAAATAACAAAAAACAGTAAATCTCTATCGCTTCTTCTTCTCCAAACACAAACAAGTAGATACAGGCTTTTTTAGCGACAGATATTTAGAAAAAGACAGAATAACCTGCCCTTTCTCTACAGCTCTATATCTGAGTCCTTTTTGAACACCATGTGTTTTGTCTCAAACATCCCTATGTTTGCGTTCTGAACACTCAATAGTTTCTTTTCCGAACATCTATCTTTTGTAACTCTGTTATGTGACATAATTCATTCCGAACATCAGTTCTCTACCTTACGAACATCCATTTTATTAGCTACGGACATCCGATAGATTTTTTTCCGAACATCCATTGGAGGACTAAAATATCAATTCCGAACATCCGTTCTCTATCTTACAAACATCCGTTTGGTATTTTTCTGAACACCTGTTGACGGACTAAATGTCAATTCCGAACATCCGGTGTCAAAGATGGATGTTCGAAATGACAGCGACGAAACGTCTGGAGGCCAGAAATACACAACACTATTTTTCTACTATCCATACTTATAAAGAAAATTTTCTTCAAACTTTCTATGCAGTATAATAATACCAAAACCATTACATTTACCAAAACGCAACTCTTTTTTACTAAAATATTAATTACTGCTGAAGGAACAATATTCATCGTAGTTTAGCATCTTCTTTGAATTATTAAATTTCATCGATTTCTCTCTTTAAATATAAACAATCATCGCTTTGAAGCCAAAACTATATACATAATGAACTGAGAAAAGTTCGAACCTTGAGCTTATTGTTGCGAAAACACTTTTGAATAAAATGTGGTGATCTTTCCTAGAAACAATACAAAAGTTGATTTTCAACTTGAAACTTTTTGTATAGAGACTGATGTTAACTAGAACAGTTTATTGTGAAAATTTCAGATCTTTCGATTTGCTTCTATCGTGAAATAACAACATCGAGAGTGTCGGTGTATTCAGGCGACATATAAGACATACCTCTACTTGAACCGTATCTTAAGATAGAAACAACGTACAAAATTTTATCCATTTTCATATTTTAGAAAGTTTCTCAAGAATTCTCTGTTCAAATAGAAAGCACTACTTTGCATAGGAAATATAAAATATTGAGAAAAATTTTATTATTCTGAATTTGAACGTATCAGTAAAAGTTAAAATTGATTTGCATCAGTAGAGAATTGACTGTTGTTTCAAAAAATGTGTTTTAGAAAAAGGAGGGAAATTTGTTCATTATCTGACAACTATTACTTAAGTTAGATGTCTTATTTTTTGATATCAATGAAAAACTTGTCAACTGCTTCGATCATAAAGTGGATCAAACCATGATTTAAGAGTGATAGAAAAAAAAAAACTTCTAACTTTTATAATCATATAATTCCAAAAGTAATCTGTTACACGGTGAAGATTAAAAAATACAATGAACAGAGAAAAAATACCAATAAAAAAAATGAAGTACGAGAGACAATGTAAAAATGCATTCAGAAGAGTGCGAAATTATTCATTCGGTGAGTTTCCAGCTTGTTTATCGTGGAAACCTCATAGTGAGACATTTCATACGAATAAAATTCATAAATCTATAAGAAATCTGATATCAGTTGTGTCCATCAGTAGGATTTCAGTTCCTTGATGAGTTCACGATTCACTAATTGCTGATTTCAATTTTCTTACATTAGTCTTTGGCACATGATTAGCAATTCCTCGACGCTTAAAGGTATTCTTTCTTCTTTTTAGTTTACTTGTGATTCTCCGCTAGAGAATGACCTGTCGGAATCAAATTTGTATCACAGCTGGATTATCAAAAATGATGGAATCTATATTTATTATAAAAGTAGGCCCCCATATATTTTTGAAGAAACGTTCAAAAATTTCTCAAAAACTGCTTTAAAAAATTTTCCTCGAACATATATTCCATCATTTTCGATAATCTAGCTATGATAGAAATTTGCGTCCGATTCGTTATAGTCTCGTGAAGAATCAGAAATACTCCAAAACAAGAAAAAATATCTTTAATTATTTTCAACAGTATGGTAAACTTTCAGTTACTTCTTCTCTCCTTTTTGTGCACGATCTTTAGAGTTATGAATTATATATTTTATATTTCCATGAACCGATTTCACATATTCATTTGTCAGTCCACACCATTGATCTTTGTTTAGCGTGTTTCTTCTTCAATTGCCAATGTGTCCTATTCAATGTCATCCATTATTTTATCTTCCGAATGTTCATGTATAGTAGCATTTTCGTGATCATTTAGAGTGAAGTACATAAGATAACACGAAAAGGCTTGACATGATAGATACGTTTTTGAAGAGAATAGAGGTTTTAAGAAACGTTTTTCCTATGTTTTTTTGAAGTTCCAACCTTTCAACATGAAAAGATTGAACTCTGTACGATGAATTGATATGTAAGCAACTACTTTTTGCATCACAAATTATTAAAAAAATTTAATAAAAATATAGTATGTCTGTAGGAATAAGCTAAAGGACCGACTTCTTGTCAATACATGGAGCACATCGTTCTAAATGAAAAGTAATTAATCAGTTATGACATTTCCCTCGCAAGACTTACGCCTAAATGTATCATACAAATCCTGTGGAAGTTGTTTGTATGAATAATCATAAAGTAAAAAATAAACAGAAACATTTCGAACTGAATTATTTTTTCTAATAATATTTATACTTAATTCTAATACATGAAAATAATCATTCATCCTTTATATTTAAATCTATATTTTAGCTTCTCGCTCATCATCACCAGTATCAATACGTCCATTACCTTCGAAATTCTACCAACCACATCAATGTTCATCTCATTGTGTCTTGATTGCTGAAGAAAATTTCATGCCATACTGTATCATACAAAACCCCTATACATTACCATTTTTGTAAGAATTTTTTGAAAATCTATTCTTATCGAGTTTTGTTATCATTTTTATATAAGATGTGGTTGGAAATATTTTCACGTTGATCGTTATGCAAAAGGTGGATTTAAAAAAAAACCTTATACACGTAAAACAACATCATCTCGTGCAAATTATTTATATCGTTCACCATGTGGTCGTTCATTTTTAACATTAGATGAAGTTGAACAATATTTATTACAAACAAATTCTAAATTAACAATTAAATTTTTTGTTGATGATCGTACAACACGTCTTGACCCATGTATTAAATATGAATCAAAATTTATTCTTAATGATGATATAACACAAGGAAATGAATATGTTAGAATACCAGTTTATAATGAAAATAATTCAAGTCTTCCAGAGCCATTTATATACGGAACGGAAACTCGTTCGAAATTAATATTTGCTAATGATACAACAACAATGACATGTTGCTCATGTACAGATAAGTAAGTTTAAGAGATCTGTCGGATGAGATGACTACCTCTCATTTGATAAAATCACTTATATTGTTTTGTAGAGCAATTCGTGACGCATCGAATAACATATAGGAAATTGTATTTTCGTTAAGTTTTATGTTCTGATAAGCCATATACTAGTTTAAAACTATTATAACAATTGTGGATGATACGAAAAAATAGTAGGATTCAGTATGTCTCCAAATCAATCTATATCAAATTTTATTTGAAGTTATTTCAAAAGAGTTTTATCTCATCTTCAATCATGACTAACAATAGTTTTCCTAGTAACCAAAACCTTAGCATTTTCCACAACTTTCGTAATTTTTGACTTAATTTTCTCAGAAAGTGTGCTATGATCAAATCAGTAAATCTAGACTTAAAAAAGGTCAATATTTCGATTTGTAAAGGTAGAAAAGCACATGAGTTTTGTGCTAAATACTTTGTCAGTGTATCTATTAATAATAAGTTCATCATGCCATATCATTTAACATATATGAATCTTTCGAAAATGGCAAAAAAAATTATGCTTGCAGACCCTAGAGGAGTGTACAAGAATGAACTATCACGAAGATTAGTTTTTATTCTATTTTGTTCTTTACGAATTCAGATTTTGAACAACCAGATGTGATTAAACCATGAACCTCTATTAGATTTAATAAATTTTTGGCCTCTTAGGAGAATTAAAAACTTTGTATGTCCTTATACGTACGAAAGTGAAAATTTTTTGGCCATTTTCAAAAGATTTACGTATGTCAAATGATAAAGTACCATGAAATTACTAATAATACATAGAAGATTTTTTCACTCACAAAGTATTTACCGCAAATTTCATATACTTTTCTACTTTTATGAATATCGAAAAATGGCCTATTTTACGTATATATTCACTGACTAGACGACGATACACGTTCTGAGAATAGTTAAGCCAAAAATTACGAAACTTATGAAAAATGCTAAGCTTTTGGTTACTAAGAAAACTATTGTTAGTCACGATTGAACATAAGATAAAGCTCTTTTGAAACAACTTTAACACATTCGCCGCAATGAAACCTATCGGTGGATCTCATCATGACTAATCTATAGAACTGAATTGCCTCCAATGTAACACATTGTTCCTAAAAATTAATCAATAAGTTTATCTTGTGCAGTTTTTAACACTCTTTTCAATAATATATCTAAAAGTATATTTTTCAATCTTTTTATGGTGGAGAAAAATGAGGTTTATTAAAGATCTGCACTAGCATATGGGCACGTCCTGAAACTCAGGACTTTTTCAAGGTGTTTTTACGATGAAAAATACTCCACCATGTCGTGCATTCTTTTTTCTAGCGAATGATATATGTTAAGAAAGAATTCACGTAAGAATAGAAATGAGATATAGTAAGAAGTAAATAAATGTACACATGGTTTTAACCCCCCCCAAAAATGCGCAACTTTGACGAGGAAAATTGTAAAAATTCGATACATGGATCTAAAGAGCTGATTTTTTATAGAAGATACACATCACAGTGAGGACTATCTAGCGGTGACATCAGACGATTTTAAATACATTTATAGCAGTGTGATTCATCAGTGAGCCACATGGCCCATCTATGAGATTAAGTCACGTCAAATGTATTAAACCAAATTTGAACTAGATTGATTTGGAGACATACTGAATTCTAATATTTGGTCATATCATCCACAATTGTTATAATATTTCTAAACTAGCTTATGACTAATCAGAACATTAAATTTAACGAAAATACAATTTCCTATATACCATTCGATGCGCTATGAATCGCTCTACAAAACAGTACAAGTGGCCTATCTATTGAGAGGTAGCCGTCTCATCCGACAGAATCATTTCCATTGAAAAATTTTCATACTTAATTTATGAAGTTGTCGTAATCGAATGAAATGTCCCTGTTGGCTGAAAACATTTGAACAAGCTAAATTAAATGATAATGAACAAATCTTAAATTGGCAACGACAACATTTTACTGATGAACAAATGATTTCACGTTTTGCATATATTCATCAACGTTTAAAAACTCCTGTTTGGAGTGGAATATATGAATGTAATTCAAAATGTTTATGTCATACAAAACAATGTACAAATCGTCTTGTACAAAATAGTTTATATCAACAATTACAATTATTTCATACGAATACAAAAGGTTGGGCTTTACGTGTTCTTCATGATATACCATATGGAAGGTAAACATTAAAAAAAAAACGGATTTCATAAAGAGAAAATTTTGTTTTGTTTTTCTCAAGTTTTATTAATGCTTATGTTGGAGAATTAATAACTGAAGAAATGGCAACTAAACGTGACTTTAAATATTTGGCTATATTAGATCATAAAAGTCATTTAAATACAACTGATAATAAAAAACGAACAGAATCACCAATAAAAGATAAACTTAATGATATTAGCATATTAAATGGTAGGAGTTTTTTTTTCTGCTGGACACTACTTTACTACCCACGATCTCCTAGTTACGTCATTATTTATAGAACAAAGTACTATTTTACGATTTAATATAAGATACTTTAATTGGATATATTGAAGATGGATTTACATATTTGTTTACTGTTACATTGATATGTGTTTGTAACAAGAAGATTTATATATATATGTATATTGACCTAAGCAAACGCATTGTTTTGGTGTCATAGTGACCATGAGTATGAGTCACGAACATGTATTGTTTAGTTTGTCACGACCTCTTTTCATTAACGATCTATATCATCGACGAAGGTCAAATAGTGTTCTATGTATAGCAACAATAAAAATAGGCTGAAATAAAAAGAAAGAAATTAGATATATTCTTATTAAATAATAGAATTTATTTGATAAGATGATTAATCAATAGTTTAATTATACACTCCCAAAAGACAATAAAATACAATTCATTTTCGACAAAAATGCTTCTATTATACAATGGCAACCAAGTGTGCAGTGATAAAAAAGACGCATAACACCTAACTAATTTAATATTCGTCCTTTCTATGAACAAATGTGATTATCGCCACGATCGTTACCGTTTCCATAATAAGTGACACACGTTATACTGAATTCTATTCTTAGTACATATTGGTATTTCAATGCTTTAATAATATGGTTCAGTAAGGTGTTATTAATCTATTTTTTCCCTTGTTTCATTTTATGCTTGCGTAGAAAAAAAAGCTTAAATTACTATTTCATAAATTGCGGAAAGACATTGTAGTTCCTGCCGACTGGTCTATCCGAAAAGTTTCAAAGCTTCAGGGCTGAGTTAGATCTTGACGACTAGGGTAAAAGTTATCGTTCCGAAAGCTGTGTTCCATGAGATGCTAATCATAATAGGCTTCCGCTTTTCTGAGATTTTATGTTCGGTCGAGCTGAAAATTGTCTTTTTTCTAGGCACTAAATACTGTTCGAAACGATAGAGTAACCCATCTCAAACAGTATAAAGTATATATGAAAAAACGTTTCAGCTCGACCGAACATACTAGAGCGGAGAAACGACCTACGTAAAAGAAAGTCAATTTTCTTGGAAAAAATAAAAATTGAGATGAATGCATGGAAAGATAGCCTGACGTCTGACATGATTTATGATCATGCATTTCAGATTTCTCGAAGGAGTTCCATTACACTCTATACCATTTTTTGAGATATTGAATTTTTCTCTTCTTAAACAATGAGAATTCAAGAAAAAAAAAAGGGTCTCTATCTTGCTCTTTAGGATAAAAATGATGTCTATAAAATGAAAGCTCACAAAGAATAAATGAATTATTTTAGATCCTTGTGAGTTGACTGTTTCTTGATCAAGATCGGTTTTTGAGAGGGAGAAACTTAATTATTTTCCGTTACATATTTTTAATCTAGTAAACATCAATCAAAAATGTAAACAAGCAAATTCTTTTTTAACATTATAAGAAAAACAATCTGATTTCTAAAGTTGCCTAAATATTCGAATGAAACAATAACGAGGTTAAATTAAAATTGTGATGTTTTTCTAAAATTCTAGTAAGAGGTCGAATTCCAGTAAAACGTTGTATAAAATTATTAAGTGATAATGAAGATGATGAAAATGATGAAGATGATGATGATGATGATGATGATTCATGTTTTATTCTCGATGCTAAGCATTATGGTGCCATAAGTCGATTTTATAATCATTCATGTAAACCAAATGTGCATATTCAAAATGTAATTTATCATAAACATTTACATATATATTATGATGTTTGTTTTTTCTTTTGTATTCTAAAAGGTATTTATTAATTCTCATGATCCACGATTTCCAGTTATTGCACTTTTTGCTTGTCGAAATATTCGAGCTGGTGAAGGTAAATTTCAAAATCGTTTTAATTTTATTTCTTATTTAATTCACTTTTATATTAATAGAAATATGCTGGGATTACAATTATACAGTAGGTTGTATGCCCAATGTTCGTATTGATTGTCAATGTCAAGCATCGAATTGTCGTGGTCGTTTATTGTGATTGAAATTTCTTTTGATTTTGTTCAGATAATTAACGACGAAAATATATATTTGTTTAGTGAGAACAATCCTCAGATATTTTATTTGTCCTAGTTATGAATAGTGTTATGTTTTTTTTCTCATTTTTGTCAAGAGTATCTAAACTTTTTCTTTTGTATTTTATAAACATTTTCTTTCTTTTTTTTTTTGTTAGCTATATAGATTTGTTTCATAAAAACATTTTGTTATTGTTATTAAAATGAAGAAAAAAAGAAAGCAGCATAGAGGATAAATTAATAGATCATTATTTATTTTCTTTTTTTTTTTCTGTGAAAAAAATACATATTTAACATAATATCAAAATAGATATATTAACTTTTTGTTTAATATTATTTTAGAATATGAATACATTTTTTGAACAAGTATATGGTTCTTTTTCGTTTTTGTGAATTAAATTTTTGATAAGATTTATATTTTAGCAAAATAAAGAAAACAGTAATCCAATCAATCGAATTATTAAAACTGTTAAAGGTTAGATTTTTTTTTAAAATTCAAATGAAATAAAAAGTTTTGTTATAGTTAATATTAATATTAAATTTTTTAGTAATTTTTATAAGGTAAAGCAATAAAATATAACTTGGTGCAAATAAAAAAAAAGAAAACTACGTTTGCTTTTGTTTCTTTTATAAAAATAATAAAAAATGTTTTCTTTATTTCCGATTGATCGTCTAACTTTCTCTACTACAAACATCTTTCATAATTGGAGATGTCACTTACAAGTAAAAACATTTTGTAGCCATGTTATCAATATTAATATGGGAAATAGAATAAAACGCTAATTGATTTGTCTTAGTCAAAGAAAAATAAATCACAGGATAATTATTTGATTCTGCATGTTTGTAATCATAAGATTTTAATACCTATTTACAAATCATTTGGTGATTTTTATATATAATTGTACAGCAATAATTCTCTGCACGATCTAATTGCATGATAACTAACAGTCCTCTCTAATTGTCTATATAAATCATAATATTGCAAATAATAATTAAAATTAGATAATTCTTATTTCAAAGGTAATTCAAAACCTATCATTTTTGCATACAAAGAAAGAGTAATTATTGGATAATTGTATTATTTTATATAGAATCATAGCCGTATTATAACGTTCTATTTTGTTTGTATTTTTCAAAATGTATCATAATATTTTATACAATAAATTGTTAACGATTTTTCTCGAGAACTATACAACATTTCTTCAAAAAAACGAAACAAAAAATTAAAGTTCTGCGAAACAGTTCCGAATTTCAAAAACATTAATGACTGTCCTTCCAATCGTTGAGTGTTTGACAGATGACATATAAATATAATAAATATTCATAGCGAATCAAAGTAGTTCACATTTAGCAAGTAGCAGTTTTGCTCCGATTTAGATTGATTGTTTCGTAATACTTGTAATTCGAAAAATTATACTCCTTATGGTATGCAAGAATGATGAATTATAAAAATTTGTGATATACTCTTAAATTAATCTTTTGATATACTTACAAACATCTATCTAGTGATTAAAAAATAATTCGATTGGACGCTTTATTGTATTTATTTTCTTTAGTTATTCTTTTCATTTCCTAGATTTCCATAATGACAAGAAATCCTCGTCCATATTCAACAATCCTTGTTCGACTGTATCATCAGTACTGTCCGTAAGTCTGTCAGAAACAAAAGAACACATCGTTACAAATCGGCATCTGTTAGGATAAACAACAAACAAATCAAAATGTTGTAGTTATTCTTGATGATGATGACAATGATAGTGAAATCAACGAAATATCAAATATAAATATACATGAAAATGAAGATAGTCAAATTTTGAAAAATTTAATTTCAAAACTTGATATTGGTACTGAATTAATTCATGTTAAACCAAATTTATCTATGCAAATATGTACAGCAGCATTAGCTTATTCAAATCTTTCACAAACTCATTTCATTATAGTAAAGAATACTAATATGAATTCTTCTTTAAAATATTGTAGTATATTTTTATTTCCTAGGTTAATTATACTTCCATATTATCAATGGACTGTGTAATTAAACGACAATTGTATACAAGTACATCAAATTCATCGTTGTCTATACCGATAAGAACTCGTGTTTATAATCGTTCATTATCTTTACTTGGTTTTATACTTGAAAAACCTTGTTCAATAAAAAATCTGAATCGATATCTTATTATATATGATAATTATACAGCTCAGTATCATTTACAAACAGATTTTCATCTTTGTCTTTGTCAAGATTTTCACAAACATTTATCAAATATTGATTATACTGACTTACGTTCATATTATAAACATGCATTTAAAAATTCAAATAGAATTCAACAATCAAATTTTTCTATAGGTACAATAATACGTGTTAGAAAATTTGGTTCACAATATCATAATTCACGTATTATTGATAAAGATTGTTCACTTATAAAAATATGTTTTTATGAACGAAAATCTCAAACACAAATATGGATTCATTCAAAATCATCAATGATTGATTCATCACAAGAATTATCATTATCAACAAAATTAAAAATTTCATTATCATCATCATCATTATCATCACCATTTAAATCGTCTGATTCAACAAATGATATGATGATTGCAGATTTAGATTTATCACGTTTACGTAAACGGAAAACACATGTCAACAATATAAATGAAGGTATTTTCTATCAAAAAAGAAAATAATGATAATAAATGATTGAGTATTATATGTGAAACAATGGAAGATGTCGTATAATAATTGATTGTCTGTTCGACAATGAAAAATGCACTTAGGAAAAGAAAAGAAACGTCTAAGAACGTGATTAATTAAGAATAAAATGCCTTCTGACAATGAGAGGAAAACATTGTAGAAGAATAAATCAATTACAGATCCGTTTGATTACAATGTATTTTGATTGTAAGCACGTACTTTACTAGATAAATAAATACAATTGTTTTTGTGCTCATTGTTTGATTTATCAACAAGTGATTAGTGAAATTCAATAAATTCTCATGCAAACCTTCTGATTATTAAGGTGCCAGAAATACAGAATTAAAGAAAAATTTCTGTATTCTATATGCATGATTAAATAAAGTGTGACTAGTTGATCAAAAGTACATGTGTTTTCATTTTCTTTTTTTGAAAAGAATATTTTAAGAGGAAGTTTCAATTTCTTCCGATGATAAACGAGGGTCAATTTACTTTTGTTTCAAGTTCAACGTGAATAATTGAATCTAGCAAGTCAGTTATGATGAACTCTCCTAGATTCAATTTGTCACGTTGAATCTGGAAGACAGAAAAAAATTGGCAATATGTTCATTATTAAATATTGATCTCTTTTGTTCCAGAAAATAGAGAACATCAGAAAAAATTCTGATTTAATTTTGCATTTCCAACGCCTTAAATCAAGTCATAAAAACAAAAGCAACAATATCTTTCTCATTTTAGGTAAGAAAAAACTTCGTGATCGATCAAATACTAAACAAATACAAATTTCACAACGACAATCTTCTTCATCTAGTGATGAAGTTCCATTAGTATCACGTGCTAATATGCTTACAGCTTATTATACTGACGTGCTTTTACCAAAATTTCGTATACTTAATAGTTTACCATATATTGGACATAAATGTAGTCAACGATGTGTCTCATTAGTTGAAGAAAATTTTCATGCTGATAAAATTCATACAAATCCATTTTTACTTCCATTTGAATATCAATGGTCAATTGTAGATGGTAAACCACGTGGTTATCGTACACCATGTCGTCGTATATTTTATACACTTGATGAAATTGAAAAATATCTCTTTCGAACAGAATCGAAATTATCTATAAAATTTTTTATTGATGATCTTGTAACACGTTTTACACCAGCTATAGAAAAATTTGATAAAAAATCTATTATTGTGGATGATCTTTCGAATGGTCAAGAACTTATTGAAATATCTGTTTATAATGATATAGATAATGATAAACCAGACAATTTTACTTATATTACTCAAATTCATCCATTTGATAATCGAATTTATGCTGCATTTAATGATACAAATATGACATCGTGTTGTGATTGTGTTGATAAGTAAGATATTGGCAAATCGAAGTTTGAGGAAAAATTAATTTTTGTTATGATGGGATAAAGATTGTGGAGTTATTTATAAAGATGTGAGTTTTGTAGTGAAAATTACGATTAAAAACAATTAGAAATTCTCATAAGAATTGAAATATGTCAAAAGCATTAAGTCTTGGTAGTATCAATAATTATTAGAATTTGTCGTCTGATTTTACTGATCATATAGTAGGGAAAAACATTTTTGAAAATAAATATTGTTTAAAGAAATGAATATTATATTGAGAATTTATGCTAAAATCTTCATCAAAAACTATACTCAATACTTGATATTCATTTCCATCGAATTCAGGTCTTTCAATTAGAATTTTTTTGAATCTGATTGAATTATACTTTAATACCTTCAATGAAATCTTGTAATTGAAATTGAATAGTCGCCCTAAAGATATGAGATACTTTTTTCTGTTTTTTTGTTGTATACAGTGACAAACGCATCCCCTACACGTTTTTCAGATAATTAGAGCTCGTCGAGTTCAAAACTCTAAGAACTGTGCCCGATGGGTTACAATAAGGTGATGTAAGGATGAAAATTTTTGTTGAGTATTGATTATACTATTGTATATAGATTTTTGCGCTGATTGTAAGTATGATATTGGTTTCTTTTGAAACCAATTCATTTGTCTGATATTTTGACTACAAATAGAACTTAGTGAAGCCTGGTTGCAAGTAGCAATCCGAGTTCAACAGACCTTAATACGAGGAATTTAAGACGAAAACACTTTTTTTCACGATCCAAAAAGAATTTTTCTGCTATTTTCCTAGAGATAAAATATGTTCATCCGCTATGATCTTCAAACGTGCAGAAGCCTTCATTATCTGGAACAGTCTCAGCATAGATCTTTTCTCCATCAATGATT